CATTTGAGTTCTGAAAACAAAATTCAACACAGTGTGGAAATAATGAGTCAATAAACTTTGATAAATGCCATTTTTTGTGATGGCTAATCATTATTTCGATGTAGTATGTCAATATAAAAAAAAAGAAATCAGTGATTTATAAATCCACTTTGAACTGTACTTCAAAAGTAGTATAAAAACAAGAAATTTAGTGTTTTACCATGTCAGCTTCATTATTTTTTGTAAATGCACTTATTGATGAAATTGATGCCTGCAACACCTTCCAAAAAAGTTGGGATGGGGCAATTTAGGACTAGGATAAAATCCAGAAAGCATTTTAAATGAGGTTTTGTAATCAAGCTTGGGTACTTAAGGAGCAACCAGGAAAGGCCTAGTCCTTTATAAGCAAGGATGAGTTGAGGCCTGTGACTTTCGCAAAAATGAATCAGTGAAAAATCCAACATTTTAAGAACAACATTCCTCAATGGGCATTTGCAAGGATTTTAGGTATTTTACCCTCTATAGTGCTTAATATCATCAAAACATTCAGGTAATCTGGAGAAATCTCTGTGCGTAAAGGACAAGGCCGAAAACTACAAGTGAATGCCTGTGACCTTTAACCCCTTAGACATTACTGCATTAAAACCTGGCATGTTTCTGCCACAGCATGGGCTCAGGAATACTTTGACAAATCGCTGTCAATAACCACAGTTCACTGCAGCCACAAATGCAACGTTTAGAAACGCTGCTGACTTCTCTGGGCTTAAGCTCATCTAATATGAACTGACACACAGTGGAAACAAGTATTGTGGTCTGATGAGTTTGTGGCAATAATGGACACTGTGTTCTCCTGGCCAAAGAACAGCAGGACCATCCAGACTGTTACCAAAGTTTAAAAGCCAGCATCCATCATGGTATGGGGGGTATATTGGTGTCCATGGCATTAGTAACTTGAACATCTGTGAAGGAAGCATGAACGCTGAAAGGTATGTACGCATTTTGGAGCAACATATGCTGCCTTTTAGATGTCTTTTTTTTTTTTTTAGGAATGTCAATGCTTATTTCGTGCTACACTGGCCTGCCTCGCCCCTGACTGAAAATGTGTGGCACATTATGAAGTGAAAAATATGACAACAAAGGCCTTTGAGCAGAATATGGAAAACATGTTGTTATTGTGAGAACAATATTTAATTCCAATTAAAATATTCAAAAGCTTGAACACTTCTGGTCAAATGACATGCTTTGCTGATTTTCTAAGTAAAACACATCCTGCACAAAAAACTTAATTGCAGAAAATTTGAGTTTATTTAAAAAAATATATATATATATCCTCGGTAAAGTATCGGTAATGAGTCAAGTCAAAGTCAAAGTTTATTTATATAGCGCTTTTTTACAACAGGTGTTGTCACAAAGCAGCTTTACAGAAAAATCCGGGTCCAAGCCTCCATGAGCAAGTCAATGGTGACAGCGGCAAGACTCAGAAGGGGAACCCATCCTCCTCTGGTCAACACCGGATAGCAAACAGCATTAGCAGAAAATATTAGAATACAAAACGGGGAAAACAGGAGGAGCAATGGTTAATTAGATTAGTTTTAGTTTATGCAGCAGCAGCAGGAGGGTCAGTTCATGAAGGTGGGGTTTGCACAGCATTGTACAGCGTGAAGCTCAATGGTGGTCAAAACGGTCCAGAAGGCTGGCAAGCAGTGGGCACCCGATCAAGGCAGAAGAAGCAACAGCATCAGACGCACAGGATGGGGAGTTATTCAGCTCGGCAAAGAAAGGAAAACACAGAGAGTTAGTTCTGTTAAGAGTGTTTCTGTAGTAACAATTTTAGCTAATTTGGAGCATTACTCAAAAACGCTAGCCAGTACATGACTACCAAACACAGCTTTGAACAGTTTTACACACATAAAACATTTTAGCACTTTTTATTAAAACACAAAAAAGTTTACTTAATTATGGAAAACGTGTTTTGGCTACACATTGATTTTCAGACTTTGGGACGCATTTACGTCAAATCAATGTGATCTAACTGTTCAGCACGTGGCCATGAGGGACAGGGATGCAGCCTCACTTCCTGCTCTAAAATACAGGGGTGTGGCTAAAATAAGGCTCTGCCTATAGAACTTTTTTGAGTAAAGTTTTTTTAATTAAAAAAAAATTCAAACTCATGATGAACCTAAACCTTTCAAATTCACTTTAAAGGTCTAAAAAAACACTGAAAAATAATTTAAGTATTATTTGCATCTGAATACTCTCTTTTTCCAGTAAAGTTGGTATTAATCATAATATAAGCATTGATATTTCTTAAACATGTATCTGTACAGTATTTAATGAAAAAAGTGGCAAGTGAAAATATTTTGGAACAAAATCCTTCAGGGATATTTAAGGGATTTTACACTAAGATGTCTGAACTGAAGTTTGTAATCTCAGGTAAGCACGATGTGCACTTCACTCACCGTGTCCGTAACACTTTGCTCCTCACTTGCTCTCCACCAGCCAGTGCTTCACTCCTCCATAGTGTGTGGAGAATAACGCGCTTGCAAGTTTTGTGTGAAAGGGGAAAGCTGCAGAGTGCAACAGCTGCTAGATAATTAAATAACTGCCTGCCTGCTGTTAAGATAGTCTCTCAATGTGATAAACACAACCATTAAGCAATTCCATCAAACCCTACAGAAATATGCAAATCAGCACACACACACACTGCCTACACACACCACCACTACCTACACAAACACATACAGACATACACCATCAACACACACAGACATACAGGCCCTTTTTATTCATAGTGACAGTGACATCTAGTGGTGAAATCTGTGAACTTTCTCTGTGTTGAGGCTCATCAGTTATTTGTTATAGTAGCAGTAGTCACTCTTTATTGTTTGCAGCCTTTATTGTTGTATCAGGATGTTTTGCTATATGCTGGACAAAGTAAGAAGCATGATCTTCTTAGTTTGTGGACTTTTTATGTACTTGTGTAGCCCTAATCTTCATAAGCTGTAGTGCTCAGATGATAACCTGGGATCATCTCGGTTTTCATACCCCAGCTGATCTTTCCAAGTCTTTGTATTTGGAGAGCTTTTCAGTTGCTTTGGTGTAGGCTTTGCGGTCTGATGGGTCTGAAACATCAATAAGCAAGCACATCTTGTCGTTCTTGATAACAATGCCAGGCCTGTGGGCCGTGATCTAGCTGCCTGTCTCAGAGGATCGTGAAAACACCGCTCTCTGTACTGTCGTAACTCCAGCAATGCATGTACGCTGCTGCCTGGTTGTGTCCATCAATGTATTCATTCTTCTCCAATTCAGAGCAGCCCAAGATGATGTGGTAGATGATCTCTTCATACCTTCTGCATATCCTGCATTGTGGATTGGTGCCATCCTTGATGATGTGATGGTGATAGGATCTTGGGCTGAGAATATGTACACACACACACACACACACATATATATATATGTGTATACTTTTGCCAAAAGTATTCACTCACCCGTCCAAATCATTGAATTCAGGTGTTCCAATCACTTCCATGGCCACAGGTGTATAAAACCAAGCACCTAAGCATGCACGAAGTGGTAGGCCAAGTAAAATGAAAACTTTCTGCAGAGTCAATCGCTACAGACCTCCAAACTTCATGTGGCTTTCGGATTAGTTCAAGAACAGCGTAGAGAGCTTCATGGAATGGGTTTCCATGGCTGAGCCCAAGTGCCGCCACTGGACTCTAGAGCAGTGGAGACGTTCTCTGGAGTGATGAATCGCCAGGAGAACGATACTTGTCTGACTGCATTGTGCCAAGTGTACAGTTTGGTGGAGGGTGGATTATAGTGTGGGGTTGTTTTTCAGGAGTTGGGCTCGGCCCCTTAGTTCCAGTGAAAGGAACTCTTAATGCTTCAGCAGGCCAAGAGATTTTGGACAATTTCATGCTCCTAACTTTGTGGGAACAGTTTGGGGACGGCCCCTTCCTGTTCCTGCATGACTGCGCACCAGTGCACAAAGCAAGATCCGTAAAGACATGGATGAGCGAGTTTGGTGTGGAAGAACTCAACTGACCTCAACCCGATAGAACACCTTTGGGATGAATTAGAGCGGAGACTGCGAGCCGGGCCTTCTCGTCCAACATCAGTGTTTGTCCTCACAAATGCGCTTCTGGAAAAATGGTCAAAAATTCCCATAAACACACTCCAGAACCTTGTGGGAAGCCTTCCCAGAAGAAATGAAGCTGTTATAGCTGCAAAGTGTGGGCCGACATCATATTAAACCATATTATTATCATATTATTAGCTTAAGAATGGGATGTCACTCAAGTTCATATGCGTGTGAAGGCAGACAAGCGAATACTTTTGGCAATATAGCGTATATATATATTCTATAGATTTTTATATTACCGCAGCCAAATAACCTTACTGTACTACTGTACCCTAAACTTAACCTCAGTATCAAGTAGTTTCCAAAGATAAAGTAATTTGTGGTGAAAACAACACATGACCAGCAAAATGTCCTTACTTGAGCAAAAATGTCATGTTGTCCTCTCATTGTGAAGACGTACAGTCCTCATAAGTATAGCAAGATGTGCAGACACACACACACACACACACACACACACACTGGAAGGAAAAGAGGCATTTTTGTTCTGAGCCCTTTGAGTTCATGTTTATTGTGGATGACGGCTGTGCAGTCACAGAGCGCAATGGAGCCTAACTCTCTCTCTCTCTCTCTCTCTCTCTCTCTCTCTCTCTCCCTCTCATCATAGAGACGTCTACACATCACACATCACAGTGTCAGCGTTTAGAATTGCACATTATCAGCTCTCATGCGCACACACATACACACACACACACACACACACACACACACACACACCCCTATACACACACACTCACACACACATACACACACACACACACACACACACACACACACACCCCTATACACACACACTCACACACACCCCTATACACACACACTCACACACACATACACACACACACACACACACACACACACCCCTATACACACACACACACACACACACCCCTATACACACACACACACACACACCCCTATACACACACACTCACACACACATGCACACACACTCCAAAGCTTCATTTAAATTTAAGTTCAAACATTCACCTGTCCCATATATAAACCTACCATGGTCACATGTAGGCAGAATTTACAGTGCAGGGAGCTTCAGAACAAACCACAAACACATGGACAGTCAAAGTAAACAATGCCATCAATAATAATAATAATAATAATAATAATAATAATAATAATATTAAATTATAGAATTTTGTAGAATCCATATCTGTAGGAGTGCTGCATACAGAAAATAGGTTTGTACAAAAGCCTAGAGGATGTTCAGGCAAAAGTACTTGCTTTATAGTAAATGTGTCTATAATAAGGGTAGATTTGCTTTACTGTGAGTCACTGCACTCCTGTAGTACAGTATTATACATTACTGTGCAAAAGTCAGAGACATTCATTTCATTTATTTAATTTCCACTCAAAATGGCCATTAATTTAGTTTCAGCATCAGAAAAAAAACATTTATTACGCTGAAAATTACACAGAAGCCTCAACAACTAAATATAATATAGAATTATCTGATGGGGACAGTGTTGGTGGTCTACCACATCTTGCAAGGTTGTTAAGAGTCTCATTTTCTCTGTATCTTTTAATCAATTTTTGAAGTCCAGTTTTTTTTTCTAATTCTTTGTGTGGATTATCTAATATCTAATCTCCTCAGAAATCTCTGAAATGAAAATGAATAACTTGTGCTTAATGGCAAGTTTGACTGGAAGTTAAATAAATGCAGGGCTCTCTGACTTTTGCACAGTACATTATACAATATAGTGTATAATATAGTATATTATTACAGTATTTAATACATGCGTGTGGACAGTGTGTGTGTGTTATGTTCTGTTTGAAGTGGCATAATTGATAATAATTATGAATAATAAATTTTGAATCGTGGTATTGGCATTTTAATGATATCCTCTCACTGTTACTGACTTTAGTTTGTACAGAAAACTGACCAAGGACTGTTAACAGATGCAGCCTGAACACAAATAAATAAACTGTTGTTGTAATATTCACTTTTTCCATCCACAGTCAGTGCTTGTGATTTGTTCTCTTCACCCAAACAAAAGCAAAATATACATACATCATTTAGTAACGTGTATACAGCTGGATAGAATTATACAAATAAAAAAAAAATATCCCAACTAAAGAAACTATACATTTTATTTACAAATGCTAATTACGGCCTTGTGGATATGATTATAGGAGTAAATGCTGTAAAATGAAAAACTACATATGGGAAACCTAGGAATCCACAAATTACCACAAATCACAGATGTACCAGCAATCAGGCCCTCGGTGTTTACATGACATTGTAGTTATGTTGTTAAATGCATATATTGTCTATACAATAGAAAGGCTGGAAGAGCCCAGTAGTTCTACCAGAATGGACAGAAAAGGAAGAAATAAGAGGTATTTCAGAGAACAGGTGGAGAAACTGAACTTCACTGCGTCGCGTTTGTAAATATTGCCGATGATGCACAGTGGTATGGTTCAAACGAACGTTTATTTATGCTTTCTTCAAAGCGATATATGTCAAACCTGTGGCTGCTACCAGTTTTGCGGTGTAACCAAGTCGGTTTGTCCTTCGGTGCAACTCTTACTCAATACCATGAACAGAAACAGGCCATTTTAAAGGCATCTGTAGCACAGAAGAGTAGGATGGGTTACTATGCATTACTCCAAGCTTTACATCACTGCAGTGGAAAGGAAGTGGGAACATGTCCATTGAGATCCAGGCTTACTAAGAGGGTCAGCAGACGTATACGAGGTCGATCAGGGAATACTGCCACTTCATAGAGCTTTTCTTACTTATAAAAGCTTAGGCCTAGTCACAGGTGTGTCCATTTACAATATAAATACATATACACATTCAGTGGATTACTGTATGTCCTCTATTAGCTATACATTTTTTTACAATCATAGCATTGCAATTGAACCACTGTGTTGGACTGTTTGCACTAAAGTCAACGGTGTACGCCGGGTTACACCAGGGACATAATAAAGCAGGTTCAAAAACAACAGAGCAAAATTTAACTCCACCATCGGACCACGAGGTGCAGCTACAGTCCTATGCATATTCAGGCCAAATCTAGAGCTGTGTGAGTGTTTGTTTTGTACGTATATCATCACTTAAATCTAAAGATACAACTTGCAGTGGCTTGGATTTGATGGTGAAATGAGAAAGCGTCATACAGTCTAATACACATGCTTAAAATTGCATCAGATGGGAAAAATTTCGAAGATGGACCAAGGCAGTAAGACATTTTATTTATTAGGTAAATTATTCTGCTTGATAAATTTATCTAATAAATGCATATAAATAATATATAGCTTCAGTGCATTCATCTGTCCCCTCGAGCACCTCTAGTCATGCGACACACAATATAGGCAACCGGCAGAAAGTGGAGCGGCCGTTTTGGGTTTGAGGTTGCTGAGCAGACGCAAAGTTGTGAAATGAATAGAGTATGTGAGTAAATGCATGGAGTGCATGAGGAGAACTGAGTTGACTCCTGCTTCGGACAGAAAATGCTATCAAACATGCTGACACAAGCAAAAGGAAGAAAGAGTGAATGAATGAATGATAGAATGAAAAAAAGGAGCAGAAGGAGATGGGAGTTAACATACAGGAAGACACTCATACCCCAGAAGGTTTTTTTTTTTCTTTTTCTAAGAGGAAAAAATGGATAGAAAACAATCCAATGAAGCTGAAGCAGACTGCCAGACTCTGCTTTTGAAATTCCCAGTTTGGAAGAGTATCAAGAAAATAGAGAAGGTGCGAAAGGAAATGAAGTAGCATCCGCCTCCAAGCCTCCTCACACACTCCCTGTTCGAGTGGCAGCATGGGACAGATCTGCCTAGAAGAAACTCTGGAGTCACTGAAGAAAGACTGCAAGCGAAGGGCCTTCCTGAAGAAAGAAGGCCAGAAAGCAAACAGCATAAGCAAGGGCTGTGTCCAGCAGAGGGCGCTGTGGAGCTTCAGTTACATTCCTCAGGTCACTGCAAAGGAGCTGGAGGCAAGCATACAGCACAGCAGCCTGACAACAGGCAGACTCCACCAACAGGCCACGCTAGTCCCCTTCAGTCTCTGTAAGTAGAAATGGAAATGAACTGTTCAGTACATTAAAGGGTAAAACATACAGTAATATAAGACTTATTTAACTGTTGCTGTCATAAACCTCTAATTTTTTCTTCATTTTTTAACCTCATTTCGAAAATGCCAGCTGCAGTTTAGTTGTGGGAACATTAGAATGTGAAGAATAGATGAATAAAAATGGACAAAACTACATTGACAGACATTAAACTAAGATTTTTTTTCCTCACTTCATTTTTGGCTTTTAGGTAAAGTGAGTTTCATTTTACCATTTATGATATTTATAAATGTTACAATGTCATTTGATTATGTCACTGTAATATACACTAAGCTACAAAGTTGTTATAATGTGCTATATCATTCCACCCAAAAAAAAATGTCATGACAACCCAATGTTTGAAAAAAATTGTCACAGGACGTTTAGATTTATCAACTTTACGTCAAAGAGACAGACGACGCTTATAGAAACAAGCCTTTATAAATATTTATGTATGTTTATGTAAGCTGTCATGACAGTGTCATGTAGGCTTATGAACACTGCACTACATTAAAGTGTTATCAATACTCTTGTCATCAATGCTCTTTTTCCTCTCACCATTCACTTCATTAGAAAACCCCTGTACATCCACTCACTAGCCACATTATGAGCTCCAACTGTAAAAAACTCACTGTAAAATTACAGCAGTTTACTGGCAGCAGTTTCTACAGTAGCTAACTGTAGAAACTGTGTATACTGTGTATTCGCAGCACTTAAACTGTATTTTAAGTGCAATTTCTGTATTGAAATACAATTTATTACTGTATTTGTACCTTTTTTCCCTGTACTTCTAATGTACAGATCATTTGCACTCTAACACAGCTGTCTGACAACCTTCAGTTTTGCTGCATTATAGAGTACAACATATATAGACTTAGCCAAACACCACAAATCCAGCTAGCTAGCTTCTCGTAGCAAATGCCTTAATGTCATATCTTCAGTGGTTTGTGGAGTTTGGAAAAGCGTGCATGCTGCATTACCTTTGAGTGCTTTCTCCCCTCCTTCATCACTCCCTGGTGAGCCCAGCTCCTCTGACACTTCCCCTGTGTTTACAGACAAAAATCCAACAAAAAAAATTTCAATGCTCTGATAGGAACGTGTACACGCTGGACGCAGATCAACAACTTGGTCTGAACTTTTCTTTTCTTGTGCTGTAGTTTCATTTGTTTTTGTGTCCATTTTATTTTGCTGGTTGTATTGTTTTATTTTTTAATAACTGCTGTTATTACTGTGCTTCTCCTAGCGGCATAACATTATTATTATTATTATTATTATTATTATTGTTGATTGTGAATTTTCATGAAGTTTCTGCTATGACTACAGAGTCAAAAATGTTCAATTATTCGATTAATTGTGAAAATTTAAAAATCGAAAAGTAATTAAGATTTTTTTCTTATGCAAATTAGCTTTACTCTATAATTACACAGTCACATGTTTAAAGAACATGATATGTCTGGTATATGTCTGCCAGCAGAGGGCAGTGAGGAGCCACAGATTACTGTAGTCAGCTAAAGGCTACGGCACACTGGAGGAGAAGATCCATGCTGCACCACAGTTGCTTATCTCTGTCTGTTTATCTTAAACACTTTAGACTGACACCTTTCAAGCAACATGTCACAGACTAGGGATTTGTGGTCTGGGTCTGAGTTTAATGTGGTACAGTTATAGTAAAAAGCTGAATGGCATCTGCCCAACATGTCTGGCACATGGTAGCCTGTAGCCTTAGGAGTCCTATGGGAGAATAATTATTTGAATATTTTTAGAATAATGAATAATGTTTTTAGAATAATTTTATAATAATTACAAATTTGAATATAAAATTTAACTGAAACACCCGTCCCTAGCCAAAATATGCAGCATTTCGAATACACACTGTCTTCATTGTACTTTCACTGATAACCACTGGATCAGCATCATCATATCATATGTATCAGTGCTAATTATTGTGACCATTTACATAAAGGTAGCATACCATTGTGCAGTTGCTTGTTGCCCTCCTTGTTCTGTTTGTTTTCAGCATGGGGGCTTTCCTCCGGTGGTCCACTCACCCCCCCAGGCTCTGGGTCATCCTGACCTGACCTTGTACTCTTTGGTTCTGGCTGATGTGTCTCTGGCTCAATTGGTCCCTCCTGGCTTGCAGCAGCTCCCTCCAGCTGAGCCTTCTCTTCAGCCTCACGCTTGGCCTTCTCCTCCATCTCTGTGGCCATTCATTAAGGGAAAGAGTCATTTAGTTCACCTTTTAATTAAGTTTAAATCCTAAGCATTTGAACTTTAACCTCCTAAACTGAATAAACTGAATTATTATTATTATTCTGTTGTTAATATTAAGGCTTATTATTCAGTAACTACTAAACATTAATCAGTTACGTGTATGAAACTAATATGTAAGTTATGTAGTTATGAAACTTAAGTGTTGAGATACACAAACCCATGCAGTTTAAGGGAATAATACAGGATTACAGTATATTTTTGCTAGGGATGCATCAATAGCATTTTTAGTACATGCTTTTTGTTAAATCGTTTAAAAACTTAGCTGATTTTAAACAAAGTGCATTAGCTAGCTACATTACGTTAGTTACTTTGGATTGAGTTATGCTGCAATGGAAAAGAGTGGGTTTTGTTCCATGTCAGAAAAATGCTTTTGTAAAGCTGTAAGTAAAGTATGTTTCATAGTTTTGATCCCATGCTTCTCCCCTGTCTCTTTCAACAACAGTCTCAGTAGCACAGCGACAGCAGGAATCACATCTGAGGCTTACACATCCAAAGAGCTCACTTGTCTTGTTGAAGTCTTTTGACTGATAGACTTTTAATAATCTGAGGTTGAATGTCCTTTAAAGTGGTACACTGTGCTATTTTAGAAATCTTGTTCTTTGGTGACTCGCACTGTACATTTGAATACACCATGTATGGACAAAGCCTATGAATTACATGCTCACACTGCACAAAAAACAACTGACAAGCTACAAGAAATGCAGCCCCTTCACACATCTCTATCTATGGACAATTTCCAATAAAGATGTTTAATTTAAAACAACACACTGTACACCCAAGTTTCAAGCAAACATGCAGAAACTGTGCTACAGCAGATTTGCTAACTTGTGCCACACTGCACTGAAACTAAAACCAGGTGGTATACATTGGTAAGACAATACAGTCCCTCTACAGCCTATTTTACAAAGACAATTAAAAAAAAACATATTAACGCTTAACCCTCTCAATTCTATTCAGTAAAGCTGGAATATACAGACTTTGGTACTGCAAATGTAGACTTGTTTTGTTAGCTTGTGTGTGTGGTTGTGATTGTGTTTGTGCATTACTAAATGACTAAATGTCCGACTGCCATGGCCTCAGCAACTCTTCACTGTGTGAGCAGACTCTGGTCCACTGCCAGCTTCAGTCGATTGTTCATTAGCGTGGCAGCACACACTAGCCTTACATCACACGGAATCAGGTGGTATTGGATGTTGGGTTTAGTATTGATGCATCCCTAGTTTTTGCATTTGTCAGTAAGTAAAACCTGGAAAAGCTACAAAATAAATAAAAAAAACAATAAACTCAGTAAATAAAATCAGTTTTAAATTAATTAATAAAATCAGTTTCTTCAAAGCTTGTCCTGGGCTGGAGAGTGAGGAAGTACCAGTCCTCCTTTATTGTACTTGAATTCTTTCACCCTACAAACTCTGAGGACTTGTTAGTGTCTTCCCTTCCTCACTTTGAGCCATTTGTGTCCCACTGATTGTACAAATATGTATGCAAAGTTATTGTAAAAGATACCTTAAACATGGGTAAAGTGCCCTTAACAAAAACATGTGTAGGTGTTTTAAATTAAAAACAGCACTTAGAAAACAGCTTTTTTGTCCCTCACTATAACTACACTATTAAAATACTTCAAACATCATTTGTGCGTTAATCCATTTTACATCACACAAGTGAAACATCTTTTTTTCATGAGTCATTTACAGGTTAAGAAAATGGACATTTTTGTTGCGCTCCACAGCTTCCACTCAACTCACTCATTTTGGGTTTGCGGATTTTATGGATTTTACATACAATATGAACTGTTATTTTTAATACTTTATTATATATGCGAGGAAGAACTTTTTGAATGTTGCACTTTTGCTTTTAACCAGTTAATATTACCTTATTTCCATGTGTAAAACAGATAGCTCCCATCCTAAAATCTGACTGGCTGAATCGCTTTCAAAGCCATTGCAAAATACACTGTATACGCACACCTATGACCACCTCGCAAAAACTGAATTCTGTGTTATTGCACCACGAAAAATCCTTGTCCTGTTAATGGATTAAACTTTGACTCTAAATCTGCTTGCATGGACCACTGAGTGTACTGATGAAGTAAGAGCCCATTTTTTGTTTAAATTGAAGGGCTGCCAACTTATTTTCTTAACTAGAACTAGGCTGGTCAGCTACCCAACAGGCTAAAGGATAGCAAACATGCGAAACAACTCCACCATTAATATAACAGGCTTCAATTACAGTACTTACAATATGATTAGCTGTAAAACTGCAATATAAAAGTGTAAGGATTGTCACTTCAATGGCTTACACACTTCAAATGTCTATATTTCAGTCAGAAGTAGCACCAAATCCAGGTGGCATCTTAAATGTTTCCGTACTCCCTAAATAGTGGGCTATGTAAGTTTTGAAATTTTAGCTTCTACAGCCAAACAGTTCAGTATTTGTCAAGTATGGGTGTGGCTGTTTAGCTATATTAAGCACTGTTGTGGTGCAGGAGCCAGTATTTAAATTCCTATGCAGTGCACTATGTAGGGAACAGGGAGTTATTTGAGATTCAGGCCCAGCGTGGCAAGAGGGTCGCCACTGAATTGGTGCCATATAAGACTGGCTGTGGTAATTTGGTGACCAGAAAGTAGTTATAAACAAAGGTTTTTGCAATAATCAGTGCTATATGTTCATTATTATATGACAAAAAGTTAAGATCATGAAATGACCACAATAAACAGTGATGGGCAAACAAATGTTCAGCAGTCCATGACCATACTCTAAAGGAATATCATATTTTATGCCGGCTATCATTATAAAAGCAATAATTTACTCGAGGCTGTGTGTTATTGTGATTTACCCTTCCCTGTGATAAAATCACTGTAACGCACAGCCTCTTGTGGCTTATTGCTTTAATCTACTTAAGTGAAAAATTCATGTATTTCTTTAAACACAGTGTTTAGCCCACCTTTGTCTGCACGAGCCTTCCATCTTTCTCGGTTCTGGTAGACCTGCTCGTTCCAGAGGGCCTTGAAGTGCTTGAGGTCAACAGCCAGCAGGGAGCAGTTGTGGGCCGCGCTGCTCTCTGAGACTGCGCTGTTCACACTGCCCCGCTTCCCTTCTGCAGAAATGTTGCTCAGACTGAAGGGACACAACAAGAGCGTATACAGTGTTATAGCCTCTATTTGAGCAAGTATAAATAAGAGCATGCGCTATTAATGTTACTGAGGTGATGTTTGCAACACAAGCATTCAGTCCTGCATTGTGGCTTTACTTGTAGAAAATGCATATTACATACTGAACTAACTAAACACTGTACAAATTACATCTACAAAGAAATCTGAAAGGACTGCACATTAAAAAATAGGCAGTGTTCACTCCCCACCCAGCCGTATCCCACTCCAACACACTTATGCTTCAGAAAAACACTATAATTAACTCAGTGGAAAATATGAGGTCATTTTGTATGAGTAATTCTTCATAGCACCGCAATGTGTCTTGATATTTCCATCCTTAATGAGAAGCCACTGAAACAAAAATGACCACTCTTTAAGCGTGGTGCATTAAAGTGATTAAAGTATGGTTTATGGATTAAAATATGGTTTCTGACACTGCACAACAGAAGTACAGACTCCAGCTTTAAGATGGTTTCTACAGCTGTTTTTTGCTACTATATGACATATGGTTTATAGATAACAGTATGTCATATAGTATCAGAAAACACAAATGAAGCTACTTAACATTGTGACACTGTTTGAGGCAAGTGTGTGATAATTTAGGTATGCAGTTTGCACTAACTGGTGGAGTTTAAGCTTCCTTTGCTTGCAATCTACATTAGTGGAAGGAATTGAAATTGAAATTGGGGTGCATGTGACAGGTTATCTGAACATCTTGCAAAATGCTACACATATACACACTTTAAATATAGAAAACTCAGAAGAAATGCAGAAGAAAAAGCAGAAGAAAATGCAGAAGTAGACTGCAGATGTTCAACCTGAGGACCGCAAGGCTCAGGTCAGTGTGTTTCTCTGCTGCCTGCACTGAGGGTTAACAGTGTTGCTTAAGATCATCATCTGCAATATGAAGTATAAACCAACGAATTCAGTTATCATTAGTCACATTATTGAAGAGTGTCCATATGCCTGAGGTCAGTAGTAGGGAATTTCTGAACTAGTTAGCATATATGCAATCTCTAGTATACGTCACCCAAGGTATATAAGTCTGTGGATTAGTTTAGCCTTGGACAGCAGCTGATGGCAAATTGATCGGACGGTTTGTATTGCCTACACCAGGTATTGTGCTGTTTTAATGACAATTTCAAATTGCTGCACACTTACATTTTATTGCTGTATGTGGTGTTTTTCATAACTGAGCAAGGTCCTACTTATTTTCGATTGGAGATGGATATTTACTCACCTATCAGTTAGCCTTCAATGCAAAAGTAAAGAATCAGACTTCCGGCCAGTCTACTATTTTTGGAGCACTGGAGAACCCTCAGTGCCTTCTAGACCTTCAGAGAAGGCATAATGACTTCTGCATGTCTACAGTTTTCAGGTTATGTTTATAGAATTTTATAGAATTTTAAATACATGCTCTGAAAGTATTGTAGTGAGCTAAGTAGATGTAGCCAAGTGAGCTCTCCCATTGTTTAGGACTTCGGGAGCTGGACTGAAGACCTAATGCGTCAGATTAACTTAATTTGGCACTGACAGAGGAATCGACCAATCACAGTACTAGATACGTCATTGACTGTGAATTGTTGGAAATGAAAAAACAGCAGCATCTTTATACCAGAGATTTTTACTGAAACATACAAGGTAAAATATATATTAATTACATAAAAATTTCAATTCTTGCAGAAATGACCATTTTGGTAAAGATGGTAAAGATCCTCCTGTGGTAAAGATCCTCTTGTTTGACCAAGCTCCAGCATTTACAGTCAGAGCTAAAGGCCTAGCTCTAATAGTCACGGCTTTGGAATAAGGGGAAAATGATGTAAATTTGATTTTTCACCAAATTACCATTGTAAGGCACAGTCAGCCCCTGTCTGAATTAGGAGAGTGATTATGCATGCTAGCCCTATTGTTTAATCAGCAAAAAGCTGGAACGGAACTCTATCAGGCACTGCAGAAAATCAGCAAGCAGTCACTCCCTCTCCACGTCTGGCTGTGCTACTCTTTTGTGATTAGCCCTCTGGTCTGCATATCTGGATTGCTGTGATTGTATCGGGGTGCTAGCTCAAAGAGAAAGTGCTTTGCAGTGAAATGTGCATTAGCCACGACGCATTAATGATGTTAGATCGGAAGCTGCCTCGCTGATGGCTGAACAGATTCAATTAACCACTGTGTTGTTTGAACCGTTCTATCTGATGACCTGTAACACAAACCAGTCAAAAGGCACTCCCAGTGATGTCAGTCAAATAGGGTCAAAGCTCCTGACCTGGACCTGCGGAAGCCGGCGAGGCCGGAGTGGGCCGCCTCGTCGATCAGAGGGGTCACGATCTTCTCTGTCATGTCCGTAAGAACGGTGAACGTGGGAAGGACGATGAAGTCGATGAAGCCTGGACAAGAACACATTACACAAATGCTCAATGCTGACCGCTGCTGCGGTAACGTTTGCTGTACAAACGTTAATACCATACAGCTTCAATTAGAGACTCTCACAGAAGAGCATCTACACACTTTAACCCTTAAAGACATGGATGTTTCTCCGACTGTTCATACATACCTGCTAATTAAAACTAAATTTCAGTGATTCCAAACCTCTGAAAAGTGATTCCAAATGGTGATTTTAAACAGCAATGCACATCTAAGACAAACCTTTAAAACACTTACAATAACAAAATAGAAGGTAAAATATATTTAGCTCTATTTTGATATTTTGTTTGTCAAGTATCTGAAAAAAGCAACGAGAGAGGAGGGAAATGAGATCATGGGTCACTAGCGACCAGAGATATGCATTTAATGGTTAACTGAAGCAGAAGCAAAATTTGTTAGTGTTTGTGCTACTCACCGATCTGGGACTGGGCCACCATGGTAGATTTGCGGTCACACAGTGGTGAGAAGGGCAGTCCAAGCTCCGCCTCCTTGTCACCCTGGATAAACAGATAAACAGATTAAAAAATTTTAAAAAGCAGATAAACAGATTAAAGGACCACTTCTACATTACATGATAACACAGTTTACGTATCATATCACTGCTGGGCCTCATAGCCTCACTATATCATATAGAACTATAGTGCTGCATTGTTTCATGGCTTATTGAATCGTGGTAAGGTATATGTACATGAAATTGCTTGATTGAGTTAGGAAAATGAATTAACATCACATTTATAACAGCTTTTGTTGGATTGTTTATTAGAGATATTTGAGTAACACTTTCATTTAGGGTCCTTTAAGTTCTAAGAATTAACCAAGTAAGTGTGAGATACAAACCTCTAAGTGCTAGATAATTATTTTGGGTAAAATGATGGCAAGATAGTCTAGCTAAATTACACTGAAATGCTCAATGGGTTCTGAGTATTAACTGGGTAAGTACATGGTAAAAACTCCACAGTACTGTGCCGTTATTTTGAACAAAAATCACCAGCTAGTTGTATGGCATAAAGATACTGGACAAAGTACAAAGATTCTTGGTATGTACTTGTTTATCACCCAGAAACAACAATGTAAAAGAAGGCAATGATTCTTCTTCTATGGTTTTACTGGGTCTTGTACATTGTGCCATGTTTTTACACTATATAACTCACTGGTACTCGGAGGTGCATCCAAATTGCTTTCCTGCTTATACATGTGACACTACATTGAAATTACGTGTGAATATATTTGTATTACCACCTTGCTACACCAAATACTTATGAGATATTTTACTATTTTGCCCTTTATTAGCTTAATAGCTAGAACTTGTTTGGCATTTCAGTGTAATTTGGTCAGACTGTCTTGGCATTTAGCATCATTTTAACGTAAAATAATTACACAGCACTTTCGGAGTTTGTGCTACAGACTTACTCAGTGGCGGGAGAGTAGACAGAAATAAATTTATGGGTACATCTGTGAAAAAGTTGGTAGGCCCATTGGTTTTCCCACGTTTCTTTCCAATTTATACATATTCAAATCTGCACACTAGTTTAGGACTCCCCCAATCATACGATACCACCAGTGCTAGGAGAGCGAAAGCTAACACAGGCTTCCTTTGAGACCTGCGAAGTCCTGTGAAGAAGAAAAGATGCGGTTCTCTTCGAACCGCACTTTAACGCAACATCACTGGACAGCTGAATGTGCTTGGAGGAAAGCACTGACTGCTAGTTCTGTTACTATCTACGCAGAAGGCCAGTTGTGCTCTTTTGGATTCCTGGCCACAGATGGTAGCATCACCAGGGCTCGAACTCATGACCTCCTGATGATATGTCCAACACTTAGATGGTTGGGCCACTCAGGATTGCTAATTTGACATAAGCACATCCAACACTTCATTAACCAACAGCACCCTTCACTATAAAGCACACGTCTGCTCACCACATGCACAGTTTTTGCCCATTGAAAACAACATAACTGAAATTAGACCGTTAAGATGTACAAACAAAAAAAACTGAAACTCTAAACTATCCTAGGCTACAGTGTACTGCTACAATAAACATGAAAAATATTTATGGATCATTTATAGACCTTGATGTGCATTAATGTCGACATTTGCTTTGACATTTGGACACAGCCCATTTTAACCTTTTTAGTAAAAGACTATTCTAAGTACCAAGTTTGCAGAACACTGATGACAACAACGTTATTAAAATTTGTTTTTAATGCTCTACTCTACCAGGGGATCTCACTTTTACAGGTCCTCAAGGTATATCTTTTGACCACAGCTAGAGCTTCAAATTCAAACACAGATAATGGACTGATAATGAACTGGCTTGAGGCAATGGTGGATAGCAATAATTGCTAAGCAGAGATAGGAAGGCTGAGAAAGTAAGGCAAAGAGTAATGATTTGTTTGGCAATAAACCAGTGACAGCACTCACAGCAAACAAATCAAATTTCATTATCTTAAAAAGTGTGATCAATCTTCTCGTGGTTATGCCCCTGCTCAGTAAATACCAAGAACCTGTCAGGGATTTCACTGTGATTTAGTCAAACTCCCCTGCAACTTCAATTCCTCACTCTCATATCTATATACCTTAAACACTAGCTTCATGAAAGCTACCAAACTCTCAGTTGTTCAGTCTTGAGATTATTAACTGAATGATTAGTCTGCAGATTAAGGGTTAAGGGTGTATGGCTGTGCTATAATGCGTCATATGTAACCACTTCCTGTCGTCATCTTATCTAACATGCCAGTGAAACTCTGTCTTTGTGTCCTTTAACATATTAAATCTGCCTCAAGAGAAGCTGGTGAGCATGCATGGCCACTGATCATAGTAAAATGGATCAGTATGAGGAATCAGAGCTTTGTGTGTGCTATTGTGTTTTCTATCACTGTATAAAAGAAGCTCCATGCTGCCTTTATTGCTGGTACACTGTGATTGTCTCTGAGCGAGCATGTACATACATTCGAAATGTAATTCATATCACTATGGAAAAATATTATAATTGATGTGTTTCAGCAATAAAATAAAAGGCCACTGAAGTGTGAAGTATATTCCTATTCACGTAGTTTGCTTGTTCAAAATGGTAATTTGTGACACAAAATAAATATCTTTGCTAGATCACATCTTTACATACCAAAATAAAGCACTGAGAGATCCTGTTACTAAAGGAAAAGAGGAGATTAAAGGCAGAAATAGCTTTGCTGCAGTATTAAAGGGTTAAAGCTCTCTCAGGCCTGTGGAAGCCATCAGTACTCATTAACCTCCTGCCCTGCAAATCTCTCAATGTCACCAAGCCTGCGGTGAAACTGACACACAAACAACACGTTTCATTCTCTCTCAGACATACATAAATGTATCACTTTTTCTCCCCTCTCTCGCTCTCACTTTCTCTATTTCTCTAAGACACATCAGGGTTACTGTTGTTAACAAAAACTATTGCAAAAAACAAAACCTAGCAGTGACAAAATGTACTTGTTAAATGTAACAAAAAGTAAACCCCCCCCTGCAAGTAAATGCCACCTATAACATGACAGAAAACTTAACAGTAAAACAGAGAATAGAGTTTGTGCAGCAGGCTGGGGTTGTTCCACCGCCTCAGCAAGCACATCATATTAAACCAATAGGAGTCCTTGGGCAAGACTCCAAACGCTGCACTCGCACACATCTGTAACATCAAATACTAAGTAGCTCTTGATAAGAGCACCTGCACAATAGGGCTGGGTGATTAATCCAATATTATTTTCAATTACGATTTTGGCTTCCAACAATTATGAAAACAAGATAATCGAGTTAAAGCAATTATTGTGCCGCATTCCGTTTCACAATGATACTCTCGTTTTGTCACAAATCCAGCACAACCTTTTCCTTTACAGCAGTGCGCTTTAGCCCTTAGTGTCTTTTGAGACTCCAACGCAAATTTGTGCCGCAAGTTGTTCAAACTTTAGTAAATCAAGCAGAATATGTCATCAGCCATACATGTAATATCTCCACCCACTCTTTACGTGATCCTCCCAAATTCGGACGACCCTCCTTCAAATGCGCTTTTCCATGCACACGGCCTATAAACTGCACATTTAGGCTCGTGTGCCAGTTTCGTACGTAAAACTCAGACAGAATGTCAGGATTTGTGCCTGAAATGGGCACAAAATGTTTTGCACCCAAGTTTCTGCCAAAAATTCACCACACTTAAAAAAACAAAACTGAAACAACATAAACTGAAACTATATTAAAGCTTTTTGTTACATTAGCTCTTTGTTATCAGAAAATAAAAACTAAACTAAACCTTTCAACTTTTAGAAAACAAAAATCATACTAAAACCATAAATGCATAAAGCTCACCAAAACTAAACTAATAACCAAAATAAAAAAAAACAAAATAAAAATGAAAACTTCATATTTTGAAAGTTTAAAAATTATAATAACCCAGAGAGGCGCACACACAGTGTACACAAACACTTATTTACAGTCATATGAAAAAGTTTGAACATCTCTGGTCAAATGACATGTTTTGTTGATTTTTGTTGATTGTGACAATAATTTAACACATCTTTAACACATCTTCACATTTAAATGCATCATTTACTGGAAATTTTAGTGCATATTAAATGTGCCGTAATTTTTACACACATTTTATAGTTTTTTCTCAATATGGTAAATACTGCAAATATACAGTAATTGTGCACTAACATATACAGAAATGTCCTTTGTATAGGATGTGCTAACTTATTTTCACTTCAAAATCAACTTCACCAATTTCACACTTGTGCAGACACATGCACACACACACACACGCATACACTCCTACAGTTTGCTGCGTCACTGATTCTTTCACTGAGCCACTGACTGCACACTTAAAGACAGCTGGAGGAACAGTACAAGGAGAGAGAGTTTCAATTTTAGACAGTGGTAAAAAGCCACAAACTTTAAACGCTGTTGGTGAGACAGAGAGAAGAGAAGAGAAGCAGCAGTAGGGTTACTGATATGACTGTTAAAGTTTCTCCAGTGGTTAGGACATTTCCTGAAACAGCTAACACACTCAGCACAACCCATGCCAACACATTTTTCACAATTACACTTTTTTTTAAACATTAGTGTTACTGAATCAGCAGAAAAACACGCTAAAGTACAGTCCATATGCTGCTACAAGTCATCCTGTAAATCCTGAAATGAGTTTGGCTCGATTTAGCTTTCAAATTCAAAAACGACATTATACTGATAAAGATATGATAAGTTGAAGTAGATTATTCACTCACATCCTTGGAAGACATGCCCTTCACTAAGTTTTGACTGAGTTCTCTTTGAATACTCTTTCAATGAACTCGCAATCATCAGATTCATCCACTCAGGGAAGTGGTCTGAACAAACATTACAAAATGTTTTTCCACATGTTAGACATAGAGAGGTCTCCAAATTCCAGCTTTAGTTTTATGGACTTTACAGGGGTAGTTCTCCTTTGATCATCATCGATTTTTAGGGGCTGCTATCACTATGGCAACAGCTACATGGCTGTAAGCCACCACTGTAACAGTGCAGTTTTAAGCCAACTCTGCAGTAAGTCACACAAATGTGTACATAGTACTACTAAGATAAGTACCAAGGTAAGTAATAAAGAATTCAGAACCATTAGCCTACTGTGTTGGCACACAGAGGAATTAGACCTCCGCATTTAACCCATCCATGCAGTGAAACACCCACATACATGCACACTAGTGAACACACACACTAGGGGGCAGTGAGCACACTTGCCCAGGGCGGTGGGCAGCCCTATCCACAGCACTGGGGAGCAACTGGGGGTTAGGTGCCTTGCTCAAGGGCACTTCAGACACGTGCTGTCAGCTGAGGGAATCGAACCAGCGACCTTCCGGTCACAAGGCTGGTTCCCTAACCTCCAGCCCACAACTGCCCCCAAAAAAGCTGTCCATGGTAAAGAAAACAAGGTTCAATAGTGCAGAAAAATGACTAGAAAAACATTAAAGCTATACTATGTATGCTTTGGGTATTTAGTGACCTCTCTGGAGGAACTGTGTAATTGCAATCTGTTGTGCTCTGGACCCTTCCCTGAGGGGATGAATCTGATGATTGTGAGCGCGTCAAAAGAGCATTTAAATAGAACTCGGTCAAAACTTGGTGAAGGATGAAAATGAATATCCAGTTATGCCATCATATCTTCATCAGTATAAGGTTTATTTTGTACCTGAGGCCAAAACTTTGGGCCTTCTTTTTGAGCCTGTGCATGTGGCGTTAACACACAAAGATGTATGCCGTGATCTGAAAAACTCCCGTGAAATCCAACCCGACTGCTCTGACTTTTCAGCTGTTAGTAACTAGGCAGTTAAATGCAAGGTCATCAGTTGAGTGTTGTGTTTTTTTTTCTTTCTGGTTATAGAAGCTACAATGAAGTAGGCCAGTTGGCGGTTGTCAACCTCACTATAGCGACTACAGTGATGCCTCTGGGACATAAAGCTTCCCCCTCATCCTGTAACCAGGCCATCCCTAAAAAGGACATTTTTTGGGTATGCCACTGCTCACAAAGACGGCAGACACTCTTACAATTTGATTGGGCCTCTAGACCCTTTATGTCCCTGATTCCTTAGGCCTCTGCTTCCTGAGTGCAAATCACAAGAGGAAAAATCAACACTATAAAAGTCCAAGAAGTCCAACTCTTCATCTTTTCCTCCAGACAGGCTGTAAATATGTCTGCTATCTACACAAAATGTATGTTTACAGTGTTGGGGTGAGCCGTGTACATCTTAGCAACTGCTAACTGTACCAGCAAACAACGCTGCAAGAAAATCTGCAAGCACTCAGTGATGCCATCTGCATAAATCGCAGTTTTTTTCTCGCTTGCTTGAGCACACAAATGTCGAAAATCAAAATTCTTCATCTTGCAACTCCATATTCCTCCATTTGTGCAGGAACTAATCCGTGTGCAGGTGTAGAGCTGATTAGAGGAGGAGCAGGCAGAGCACTGAGAGAGGATATGTGGGATTAAACACGGAGAGGTGGATTATCTCCTGATTTTCTCTCTTTCTTGCATTAACACACGCACGCATACACATGTACTCCGACATACATTTGCCTTACACACTGCACTTACATATACAGCTTAAATACATAGCCATAGTGCACACACGCACACATATATAGATACATCTTTTGGCCTGTTCAAACTGGTGCACTCAAGATCCTGCAGTCCTCATTTGCACATACACATGAGGACCACAAGACCATAGAGTGTCCCATTTCTAATTCTGCCATTCAAATGGGAAATCATGAGCACCCTCTATGCATCCTTATTGCAGCCTTTGTTGAGGACCACTTCAATGCATTTTTATCATCAGCGTATTACCCCAAAATTTCTTGAGGTACAAGCTAGGACCAACCACAGTGCATGGCAGAGATGTACACAAGTCTTGAGTCTTTGGGGTGTGAGTTTGAGTTGAGTCTCTGACAGCAAGTCTGTGTCAAATTTCTGGGGTCCAAGTCCAAGAGAGGTATTAAATTTTTGGGCTGCAGGTCCAAGTCGAGTCTTAAGTCTTTGGGTTGCAAGTCCAAGTCAAGTCTTGAGTCTCGGAGGTGCAAGTCTGAGTGAAGTTTTGAGTCTCTGAGGTGCGAGTCCGAGTCAAGTCTCTGGGGTGCAAGTCCGAGGTGAGTCTTTGGGGTGCGAGTCCCAGTTGAGTCTCGAGTCTCTGAGGTGCGAGTGCAAGTCAAGTTTCTGGGGTGCAAGCCCACATCAAGTCCTTGGGGTGCAAGTCCAAGTCGAGTCTCAAGTCCTTGGGGTGTGAGTCCGAGTCGAGTCCTGAGTCTTTGGTGTGAGTCTGAGTCGAGTGTTTGAGGTGCAAGTCTGAGTCGAGTCTTTGGGGTGCGAGTCCCAGTTGAGTCTCGAGTCTCTGAGGTGCGAGTCTGAGTCAAGTCTTTGGGGCGCAAGCGTACATCAAGTCCAAGTCGAGTCTCAGGTCCTTGGGGTGTGAGTCCGAGTTGAATCTTGAGTCTTTGTTGTGAGTCCGAGTCGAGTGTTCAGGGTGCAAGTCTGATTCAAGTCTTTGGGGTACAAGTCCAAGTTGAGTCTCGGGTCTCTGAGGTGCATGTCTGAGTCAAGTCGCTGGGGTGCAAGTTCAAGTCAAGTCTTTGGGGAGTGAGTCCGAGCTAAGTGTTTGGGGTACAAGTCTGAGTCAAGTCTTTGGGGTATGTGTCCGAACTGAGTCTTGGGTCTCAGCAGAGACTGAAAGGTTTTCTATGATGAAAGATTTATTATTTGAAGCTGTATCGAATGTATCGTGAGTGCAATCTATGGGAGACTAGCATTGCAGTAATGACCACGCATGACCACAGCAAACCTGACACACTAATTCACATGTAAGGCTTGAAATGAAAAGTTACATTCATTTTCTGCATTAAGGTTTTTGGTTCTAAAAGCACTGTCAGGATCAACATGGTAGTGAAGAAGATAATTCAGATTTGAACTAAAATCCCATTTTTACTAATTGTTTATTACTGTGTCATTCAGATGCATTGGGCTTGTAATCTCAATTGAGCCACAGCAGATAAGCAAATTAGCTCATTTAACAAAGCGATAACATACTCTTGGCCAGGCTCAGCACATGTAGGCCCTGCATCTCACAGCTGTGTAACTAAAAAACCTATCATTGTGTTAATGATATTGCAGCTATACTGACTGAACTTGTGAATGTAAACAAAAAACACCATCATGGTTAAAATAAAAAAAAACATGTAAAAGGCATTAAAACACAACTAAGTGTAACTTAGCATGAGAGGAACATATTATAGAACACAAAATACTTGTTCTATGAAGAAGATGGTTGAATATTCAGAAAAAAGAGGTAATTAACAGAAATTAAAACTGTAAGGAACTTTGTGTAGCTTCGCCCTCTACAATATTTCTATTATTTAAGACGTTGTTGTTTGTTTTATGTTGTTTACTTTGTTGAATTTATGGCATTTGAGTTTAAGATGTGTGACATTGCTTACTGACAATCACATCAGTCAGTAAAGAACAAAAAATTGATGCACAAAATTAAAATAAAATTTTAAATATAAAATTATATCAGCCAATTTTATTGATCTTTAGGAATTTTGGCCCCATAAAATCAATATTGGTCCAAAATTTTCATAACAGTTGGGCCCTGATACACACACATTTGCACAGACAGGAACACAAACATGCACACCCACCTGTCTGAAGAACTCCTCCAGCAGTGAGGTGGTCCAGCGGTGATGAAGATCCCAGTTCTTTGCCGGGTGGCTGATATCTGCCGTGTGCAGCAGCAGAGAAAGCGCTTTGGACTTGTCAATTCTGTGAATGTAACACAAACGCCGTTGGGGTTCAAATAAATCGATACACATCTTCCTACTCGTTTGTATGTTTTTGTGATGAAATAATCCTTTTTCTGACAGGTAATTGAAAAGCAGCACAAAATTCCTTTTAGAAATCACAATCCCGGATCTACCATTTGTTACGTCTCAGTGTTATGGCCCCCGGCTTTCTCATTTTGCTCCTGTCTCCCTTTATTTGCTGCTGTTAAAACAGAACTGACTCCCAGAATTGGAAATATCAATATGTAATTTTACTACTTATTTTTCTTTCCATTTAATATTTTACGGTGTGTGTCTGTGAAAGAGTTTTGCTGGCTGGAAGAGTTAACACATATGGAAATCATCATTCTGGTTATTCCAGAAAAAAAAAAGAAAAAGAAAAGAAAAGAGAAATGGAGAAGAGAAGAGATGAAAGAAAAAAAAGAATAAAAGCAGAGAAGAAGAGAAGAGAAGAGAAGGAACAAAAGAATAAAAACAGAAAAGCTGAGAAAAAGAAAAGAGAAGAGAAGAGAAGAAAGGAAAAAAGAATGAAAGCAGAAAAGCTGAAGAGAAGAGAAGAGAAGAGAAGAGAAGAGAAGAGAAGAGAAGAGAAGAAAGGGAAAAAAGAATAAAAGCAGAAAAGCCAAGAAAAAGAGAAGAGAAGAGAAGAGAAGAGAAGTGAAGAGAAAAAGAATAAAAGCAGAAAAGCAGAGAAGAAGAAAAGAGAAGACAAGAAAAAAGAATAAAAGCAGAAAAACAGAGAAAAGAGAAACAGAAGAGAAGAGAGAAAGAAGAGAGAAGAGAAAAGAAGAGAAGCAGAAAAGAAACAGACAAGATAAGAGAAGAGAGATACAGAGAAGAGAAGAGAGAAGAGAAGAGAAATACAGAGAAGAGAAGAGAGAGAAGAGAACAGAACAGAACAGAACAGAATAGAACAGACAAGAAACAGCTCTCCTCACCCCTCTGGTTGCTGTAGAAAGTTCTTCATGGCTTTGACCTGCTGAAAATGGCAAGACATGTCTGTGGCCAACACCATCTCCACCACCAGCGCCCTGAACTCCCTGACAACAGCAGAAACACTCAAAGCAGTTATTAAATTGGGACAGAATTTGGAAATGAAAAGAAAACATTTTCCATCAAGCTTCTCCAGAGTTTTCTCGTTTACCTGCAGCAGGACTGGACTGAACTGTTAATGACATTCACTACTGCTACCACAGAAAAAATAAGGGCCAATCATATTTCACAGGATAAATTGAGGGGGCAAACATGTTTAAGTCAGCCATTATAACGTCCAAGTTTATCAAATTACATGTGAATGGAGCCAGCCAGCTAGCTGGCTGTTTTGATATGTGAAAAACTGCTTTAGCAAATGTAAAACTAGCCTAGCTAGTTTTTTTTTTTAAAATGTTATCTATTGTAAAATTAGTTTCACCACCTTCCAAATTCTTATTTAAGTGCAAAAATGGAGCAAGAAAATCTAGTCAATAAATCTAATATTTCTCATGTTAAGATTGCTGTGTTCTTACAAGAGTATTTCACTTATTTCTATACATTTTTAACTTAAATTATCTCTTTATATATTGGCAGAAAAAAATATTTCTTGTAAGAAATATGCTTAAAACAACCAAAATTATCTGTTGATATAATGAGATAATTTGACTTTCTAAAATCACCTAAAACAAGTAAAAAAAATCTGTAAATAAGTGAAATGATCTCATAATAACTCAAAATGCAGAATGTTATATAAACTCGACTTATGATTACTTGCCAAGATATCATTTTTTGCAATGTGGTTCAAAGACCCTTAAACAAGCCCAAAAGCCCAGACATCACATTCAGTCTCTCTCTAGCCTCCTGCAACATCCACTACATATAAAGGACCCGATTGAAAGCCAGCACACACAGGAACAAGAGCTGTACTGGTGATAAATTAGGTTTGGTTGAGTTTGTTCTACTGAGCTTTTGTTCCTTCCTCTCTTTTGAAAGATGCTGCTTTTCCTCATATTACAGTTTGATCCAACATCCGTTCCCTTATGACAGCAGCAGGCAGAGAATGGGATAAAGAATGAAATAAATAATCTGCGAAGATCCAAGTCTTTATAGAGAATGGTAACGTAGAGGTTCCATACCTCCAGTCATCTTTGGAGAGGTTGTAGAGGATGTTCATCTCATCGTCGTCCTGTAGGAGGCGATATGCTGCACTCACATGGTGGCTCTCCAACACTGAGCGGTCATTGTACAGGATAGCCGTGTCTGACCTGGCCAGCAGAGATATGCAGCATTGCAGTGTAGTTACAGTAAAACTATGAAATCTGCAGTAATGAAGTGGCGTTCTGAGGTAGTAATTCATAGACATATACACAAGCAAACTTTTATGTACAGCAAAAAAAAATACTGGTAAGTGAAACCATCCTAAACACAGGCTATATATCTAATAATTCTTATTATGAGATTTTTTGAGAATATTACACATTCTTACATATATATAAATTAATTTAATCAAGTGTAATTATCTTCCTGACTGGCAGAAAACTAAGCACTTCATGAATCAACCTGAACTGCCAGTGCAATAAGATCATTGTGGTGGAAAATAACTAAGTAATAACTGAAAAAGTCTACAAAGAGGTTGAATAACACATCTAATATTCTCTAAACAATATGATAACATAATTTCAAAAAATGTATGTCTATATTTAAGACGCATTCTCTTGCCAAGGTGTCATTGTTTGCAGGGTAAAAACAGCACAAATAGTTAAGGGTGACATATCATTACTATATTTTTCCAATTTATGAACAACAACTGTAAAGAGTATAAAATAAACAACACGATTTGTTCTTTTGTTAATCCAAGCATGTCACTGCACTTTAATGGTTAATGTTTGTAAAATTTTGTAATGCACTTTGAAAGTAGTTTTTGTCAAAGTCCCAATAGGAAAGTCTGCTCACTCAGCAGCCATCACTGCAACGCCCTGGGCAGCTATTTCCAGCCATGAGGAGAGACCAAAGTACTCGAAACTTAAGGTCAGATTACCGTTTCAAAAACATATTTGAAATCGCTGATGAAATCTGACATAAACTTCATAAATAGTTAGTAGCGTTTAGCTCAGTAACATACAAAAACACGTTTTTTTGGGGGTGTTCTGGCTTCTGTGCTTGCACAATGGGGGAGAAGGAGGGGCTTTCCCCACTCGCGGCGTAACCAGCAAGCTGACTGGCTCTATTTCTTGAAAGACAGTACTTACTGCAAACAGATGCCATGTTGAGCATTATGAGCTTTCATATTTCAACCAGTGACCTCTCTCATACTTTATAACATCACTGCTTTGTTTATGTGTCTGCCCTGCTAAGATAATGCTAATTTCTGCTAGCCTGATAATAGGGATTGACCTGTTACTTTAGCATTAAGCTAACAGTGGTAAAAAGGTTTACATTTTATAGCAGTTCTCTAGATTAAACACAGACATTTTGAAGCCCATAACTAACATTTAAGTAACATGTTCTTTACAGGTTGGCTGTTTATTCCTTCAGTCAAGTCAAAGGCTCTCTCTGTATATTACTGCAGCCTGTTAGCTTAGCTATATCCTAAACTTTCTTCAGTGAGGACTGAATGTGGTCTAATTATCCCACTGAGGGCCTGTTAACATCAACAGAACAGCGTCTGCTGAATCAGTCAGTAACATAGAAGTTTGATGTTTGTGATTTTTTGATATTACATCATGGTTTTGCACTGCTCTGTTCATAAGAGATGTCTGGGCAGAATCAAGCAACAAATGCTAACGGCCTGTAGAATAGCACGTCTCTTGTTAAAGGGAAATGGGCAAAACAACCCTGCTGAAGAAGGACCATGAGGTTTTAACCCTAACAGTTTTGCTTTTTAAAGGGAATCGGCTTCATGGTTTCCAAAAAAGAGCACTATGTAGAACATCTTTATATCCCTTTTCCCATTAGGAAACTGTCCAATGCATTTAGAATCAGCCATTGGTCACCTGTTAAACCGATCCTTTACATTGTGATATCAACCCATTAAAAAAGCCAACGATTTCACAGACAGTGGATAAAGTGACAAGTAACGTATATGTAAACAGCAGTTCTGTCTACTGTGTTTTCTTTCATGGATTTAGCTTTTCATAGCATTTCTTTCTTTAAAATTCCAACAAAATCTCATCTTATGCTTTAAAGTTATTAAATTCTACTTTAGTGTGACTTTCCAGTCTGTGTGTTTGACAACAACGTCCAGCAAGAACATTAGCAATTAGCAATAGATAAATGAAGGCAGAAGACTAAACTAAGTTTACAAAACTCTGTGCTCGGTGTCTTTCTCTCACTCTTTCTATTCAGACCCCTCTGTGCTATTAATCCCACGCTGCCTCTGGTCAGTTCATTATTGAAACGGCACGTCAACAGTTTTTTTGCCCTTTGCTTTCCCTGCCAGTTCAGTTGACTTTCATTAATTCTGCTCTCAGTGCTCTGTACTGACTGCAGGCCTGAATGGGAGCTGATGGATGACTCAGAGCCTTCATGGCCCACAGCAGCAGGGCCTTTACCTGGTCTGGATGTGGAAGTTGTTTGTAGTTCCAGTGTGTTCATAATCGTGCACGGCAGCAGCGAAGATCATGGCGAAAATCTCCAACTCGGTTAGCCAGTGCTGAGAAGAGAAGAGAAGAGAAGAGAAGAGAAGAAGAGAAGAGAAGAGAAGAGATTAAGGAACAGAAAAACAGAAGAAAGATAAAGAGATAAAAGAAAATGACACTAAAGCCAGTGTTTTTAGAGCACTCAGACTGAACCCTGATGAGTTTTTCAATCTGTGTCGTGACTCATCTAATAAATAAGGTACGAGGCCTGTGCATCCTGCTAGAGTTTCATGTTAAAAGTTAATAACCCAGTGAAGTGGCTACACAAGCCGTTCTGCACCAATCTGACATTGTAAAATTGCAGCCTATAGGCACATTTATCCTGAGTCGTGACTACAGCTTCCGCCATGTTGCTGTACGTGAGACCATTCTCCATTATTTAAAGGCTAATCAAAACATTTGCAAGATTCTCAGGCCTCCTGCATTTGTGCTGCAGGCTCAGTACACTACAGGCCAAAAGTAAAGAAGCTAGCAGTGATTTTTTTTTTTTAAAGTTTCAGAAATACTTCACAATGAAGTCAATCTGCCAAAAGCTGACAATTATGAACATTTACTTTAACTATTTCCTTTTTCCAAAATGTTCCTTTGGCTTGATGTGATCTACTCTATCATATGGGATAAGTCTTTACTCTTGTTGTTGATAGCAGTCCCTTACATCGACCAGTTTTTAGCGATTTATGAACTCCTATTATAAAATCAGTAGTTCCATTTCTAAAATCTACTTGGATGAGACACACTTGAAGTCACTGTAAGACGCTCAATATACACTTGCTTATGTCCGCACACATTAACATTATAGTGTATTAATGACACAGTTTAAAACATTGTGCTGTTCATGAAATAACTACTACTGTTTCAGGAACGACATTGCTTGGCATGCTTTTGCCTGGTCAACTGTCATGCCAAAGCACACAGAAGTTTGCTGGTATAAACAAAGATTTGATACATTATCGCTTTTCATTCCAATAGACGCAGCAAACACTGCTGTTGACATGTTTAGTTCCTCCATTGCCCCCCTTGAGCAATGAATGTTTAAACCGCTACAGTGGTGTAAGACCACATTTTTAGTTGGTACAGAAAGATGTGTTGGCAATACGTTGGCTGGGCATCGACTTTTGCCTTCTCTTACTTGCGTAAAATATGTTTCTGGCCTATGGCTACACTCAACAGAAGCAACATGACACTGAAAGAAAAAGTCCATTGTAGCCTAACTTAGCACTGTGTCATGTGGCAAAAAATTGCAGTCATTTTTGTTGAGAAATCTCAACCTGGGCAGGACTGCAACAGGTCACGATTGACTCTTTGCCAATGACTCTGACAGTCAAAAAGCATGGTTTTGGCAAGGTCCTCCAGTTGAATAAAAACACCCCTAATCAAATAGCAATTGTTTATCGGAAATTAGTTTTTTAAACCGAAATTAACATCATTAGCATCAACAGCTTATCTTGCTTCTGGCAGATCGTAAAAGCTTATATGACAAAAAAAAACTTGACTATAAAAATGCAAAGAAAAAAGAGAATATACGTGTCATTTGTAGCCATTATTAATGAAACACTCTTGTCTGTTGTTGCATTTTTTGTACTTGATAATGTTAAAACAACAATCTCAGCAACTTTATCAGAAAGAAGAAGAAAAAGGAATATAAAGAAAAATAAAGTGGGCAGGGAAATAGAGAAAAAGAAGAGGTAAAATTCTCAGTGTCCTAAAAAAATTCATAGGACTTGATGTGAAGTTTGTGCTGCATTAAAAATTGCATCCATTTTATTTCATCCAAAAAATCATGTTTGGTGTGAAAAGGCCTTTCCAGTGATTTTACTGTATCAACAGCCCTTAAAGCACAGCATCTGATGACTTATTGCTTTAAAGTGAAACATAACTTAAGGAGCATAAGGACTTGGGAAACCCAGTGGATCTGATTAGCTGCAATAAAACTCTGCAGTTTATTATCACCAAGAGCTAAACTCATTAGATGGACACTATGTCTTCAGATATTCAGAAATTAATGTGTTTATGTTAATATTTCCATTCCCATTTCCTATTTAACTCTTGGCCTGTAGTTTTATTTGTGACAGCATCTGTACATGCAAACATGTAAGTATAGCAGAAGGTAAGCATATAGTTGATTGACCGATAGGCTGGACATACTAATAAGAATCAGTAGGGCCAATTTTTTAAAAAAAGTCAAATCCTCTCTACAGCTTTATGAATGACCTGTTGACTGTTGACTCCAAACAGGCTAGAGGCATGTGTGTTTGACTGAGTGAGATGGATGACCGCGCTGCCGGGCCTCTGTGTAATGCAGTTACGCAGAAAGCACTGCCCGTAGAATGTGCCCTGTTGACAAGCTGTCAGGGTAAAATGATTAAAGTTGATTAAGTGCACTGAAAAGGGGGACGGTGTGTTGGAGCACCGCCCCCCTTTTCAGTGCACTTAATCAACTTTAATCATTTTACAGTGTGCTCCAACACACCGTCCCATAATTTCCCTGGAGCCCCAGAGGGTGCAAGCTGATAATGGGCGCTCATAATTATAACGGGTCATTAGCTAAGAGTAATAAATATTGCAGAGTGTTTAGAAATGATTACTGGAATCAAAGCTCTAATAAGAGTGCGGAATATGACCACAATAACGTGTCAAATTATTATGTATCTAATGACGTGTGCAGAAAGAGTTCATATAAACCTAAGCATTTACTTACAGTGATTACTAGAAACTTTGCTTGCTGAACTTTCTGCTCATTATTTGTGGTTATTTTACCCTCATAGGCTCCCATGGGGTATGCTCTGTGAACCTCTCCTTACATTTTGTTATTTCTTCCATCTAGCTCATTGAAAAAAGTGTGTTGAAAGTGCAGATTCTAAATTTTGTGCTTGAAAGTGGAAGAGGAGATATTACATTATGACATGAATTTGATGTAAAGCTATTGTTGTGCATACAATCTTGTTTCATGCAAAGAAAAAAAATTGCTATGTTTTTGCCAATTATTGAGTGCAAAATCGACATAAATGTAATTATGTTATCATATAATTAATTACATATAAAAATATAGAGCAAAATTGATGAGAAAACAATAGGAATGACTCTATACCTCTGAGGTTGAAACCCATTTTTCTAAATCTCTGCAAAATTAAATGGTTAAGATGTAAATGAAGTCATTTGGAGTGGTTTGATGTGAACTGCTCCACCCTACAGAAACTTCTTGAGACTTACTTGTTCACAGTGGTGCTTATAGGAACCAGACGTCTGAAGAGTTTAATGCCTGAAATGCTGCCTGACGTATGCGACACTGCTTTATGATAATTTTGAAATAAGATTTTGTCCTAAAACATAGTTTTTCTATACCCAATCATGGCACAGATGTAAATACAGGGTGTTTAAGGCAAAACAATCACCAAAGAAAACTTTCATTTCTGTCATGTTAGTATTATCAACATTACAGATGACATACAGGTAGTTGTGAACAGTAAAAAATGGCTGTAGACATTGTGACACCTGGTTCGTATCACCATCACGAAATCTGAGTTGGTAAGTTTCTTTGGAACAAAGCATTTCACATCAAAGCACTCTGAATAACTTTACATCTTAACCACTGAATTATGCAGAATTTTTCAGTCAGTGAAGTTCCCTGTAAGGAAATAACACCCTACTCTTATTATCTTACTCTTATGAAAGGAGACACATAATTCACAGTCCAGATTAACTGGACACAGATGGCCCTCAGAAAGTTTGTCCTTGAAGGACCCTAACAGCATCTGTCTTAAAGCCCCACACTGTACATAAACGCTTTCCAAAATCATAATCTGAAACAGATTCACTTTAACCTTCTCTGGCCTCACAGTGTGTGTCATTTTGTACGTGTGTGTGTGTGTGTGCATGCACTCGTACTTTGAGAAGTAAAAGTAAAAAAGAAAATGCCTCCATAAACATGAAAACATGGAAATTCTGCTTGTTTACATTAATGTTTTTCTTTTGTTTTAGATTTTTAATGCATAATGGAAACAGTAAAATAGACAAAATAGATCAAAAAAACTTCACATTCTACATTTTTTGAGTATTTTATGTTTTCCCTTGTACTCTTCTTATATTGTCGTATGCAAAACTGAACACCCCTTGTCAAATTCTGCATTAAGTGAAAACGCAAACTTTACAGAGAACCAACTTAAGCATGGCATTATGACATGCTTTACACAGGTCCCATTTTATGTAATTTCAAATATGTTACATTTAGCAAATAAACAGTAATTGTGCATTAAAATGTGCAGAAAGAATTTTTACTTAGAAAATCAACAAATCATCATTTGACCAGGGGTGCCCAAACTTTCACATACACCTTTATGCTCATCGACTTGCACTAATAATATGCGGTAAATGTAAGTAAATATATGACATTATGTTACTGTCATATCTGTAATGTTAGGCTGCGTTTTTTTTTCCTAATACAACAAAACATGCAATTTTACCAGGGGCGCCCAAACTTTTGTATAAAGTTTGTGCGATTTTAAACAAAGTTATAACTCATATTTACATGACCATTTTTCAAGCTCTCTTTAGCCAATACATTTAAATAGGCTGTTTTTGTTATTGTGCCTGACTAATATATGTAAATGACCTCAGTTCTGACTGGCTGTTGTTCGAAAAGCATTCTGGGCTGAAACATTCTTTGTCATTGGCCATGTTAAACTGCTGTAGGCTGAATAGGCCGTCATATGTAAATGTGTTAAGGGTTGTGAGCTCACAATCATAATGAATTCAAAACAAATTCTATATGAACTGTAACAACTGGAGAGTGAATGGTGGGAGTTGGGGATGGGATTGGAGCAGTACAACATAACTCCACAGCCAATAAAATAAATACATAAGTATTACAATAAGTATTACAACAAGTAATAAATACAAAAACAAAAAAATAAATAAATAAGGATAAATGTACAGTAGATCAGCATAGTTCTACTAACTTAGGAAATCTGCCAATTTAATGATGTTAATCGATGTAATCTCTTTTCCATCAGGTATGCCAAGCAGCAGCATGCATAAGGTTAAGTGTCACTTTGTTTTTGTCGCTTGCCATTAAAGATGCATGTAAAAAAATGTGTGGGTTTAGCCAGGCCTGCCAGGACAGGCCTAATTTAGCTATGATAATACATAATTCTGTAGAAAATCCCCATAAAGATAGTAATACACAACTGTGTGTGTGGTCTATAAACGTACCACCATGCCAGTCTTGAGCAGTAGGTAATGGACGGTTTGGGTGACGTCAGCGGCGTGGATGAGATTGTGGTAGGGGATTTTTATGTTTGCTGTAGCCCACCTCCAGCGCCTCCACGAAGGACACTAAAGCTGAGATGGGAATCTGCCACAGATAGAAACCAAAATCATATCAATATCACGTTTATTCCCACACATAACCTGGAACCTGGAGAGAGAGTAATACACCTCATACCACGGGCGCTTCAGCCTAGATGGAGAAATATATGAGAAAAAGATAGAGAGACAGTGAGCGTGTATGTGTTTAAGAGCGAGAATTATTCACCTTGAATCGGCTGATGAGGTCATATCTGGTCAGGAGCTCGTAGAAGATGAATTTAAGTGCATGGTCCCCACTCGCTTCATTCAAAGCAAATACATCAAAAGTCCACTTGTCTATATGCTGCAAGGAAAAACACAGAAAACTGCAAAATGAGGTCATAGATACAATGATTAGTTGAGATGGGAAACCTAAAGTAAAAGTGTTATTACTTCAGTGAAGTAATGACTGAAGTGGATGTGAATAAAAAGTGGTCGGTCAGATGGAGACCTTTGGTGTTGATTTCTGGGAACTAAAGTTACATGTCTGTAATTATCCAATCAGGATTTTTTTCTCCATAGTATCCAGGCAGATACAGCCAAGCAAGCGCTCGCACTTTTCGCTTTCCACTGAGTGGGACCAATTTTGGGACAAATGTCATTCTAAACCTTCTGGAAGCCTTAGACATGTCAATGACTGAATACGAGCCATAGTCTACCCTGACTGTTAGAAATGGAAAACAGCAGTAGTTCTGCGCCCGCACAGTTCGTATAGTACTTTACCCTCTACATACAAGGTAAAACATATATTAATATTTCTGTTCAGAGCTTCAGATAAAATGTCTGTTAAGAGCTTCGGATAAAACACAGAATGTCTTATACAAGCTTCAAACATCCGTGTTCTAGAATTGCCAAAAATGTTAATGTGCACCGCTGCTAGCCTTGCGCTAACACTTCTAAAATCCCATAGGGTTGCTATGGAAATTAACATTAATGTACATTTTCATTTCCTCACCTTGGAAGCAATATGCTATACAAGTAAGAGTCCTTGGGAAAGACTCCTAACACTACAATCACCTGTAGTACGCTCTGGATAAAAGTGTCTGCCCGGTGCCATACACGTAAGTGAAAGTAGCAGTGAAAACAACTTCAATAGGAGTAAAAAAAAAAATCCTTGCATAATGAGTTGCCAATAGAACTGCAGTGCATCCACTGAAGTACTAAAGTTTGTTAGCTATTCTTCTCTTTTTTAGACTCTTTTGGTCTATAATAAAATACTAAAGTACTGAAGTGAAAGATGTGATATTAAACCCAAAAGGCTAAAAAAGAAAACAGATTCCACCCGAATGAGGGGACCTGAATGGTCATGTCAGGTCCAGTCAGGTTTGGACACTGCTTGCCAAACATTGGTGGGCTCGGGTTGGGTTCAGCACCCCTCCTACTTTTAACAGGCTTTACCCTTCATTTTCCCTCTTAGTTTTACTCCTTACTTTATTCTTCCTCTCTACTTTCATGGAGTCACCCACCCGTGATGTTGGCAGAATTTAGCACCGAGGTCCACAAGGTTTCTCACGCTCGTGAGAAATGGATGTGCGGGAAATAAATCAGCAAATCGATTCAGTAGAGCAGTTTGCTATATCAGCACCACACAGCGTAAAGTATTATGGAAATATTATCCACTCTAAACTCTAAAGAACTTTAGGATGTTGTTCAGATGAATATATTTGAATGGTTGATTATTTTACTATGTCATTTTATTATTTTATATATGGTACTGTGCAAAACACTTAGGCATTTGAGAAAGTTGTTATTAAAAATATATTTATTTGGGCAAAGAGCATTTATTTGTTCAAAAAAACAGTCATATTAGAATAAATAAAAAATACCAGTAATACAATACCTACACTAATCCATGCTTTATTATGTTAAATCAAGTGTGCTGCTGACCAATTGAAATAAACCAGTGTGATGGCTGGGGACCACAAGGAGAAATCTGGAACCAAATTTTTGTTCTTCTACCCAGCTCACAAGATCTCATCAACTTGCTACTAAAATAAGAGACTTATTATTTTTTACTGCATTAATGTTTGTTTACATTCATGGTGTTTTTTTCTGGCAAAATTATTCCATATGTACATTTTTCTATTTGCTTATGGGTGTATAACTTTTGAATAGTACTGTATAAGTTTTTTATTTTATTTACTTGTGATAATGACTGCCGTATACTACTAATGACTTCTATACTCACTACACAGAATTTAACCAGCACTATCATTAGTAATATCAGACTTTATTGGGCACGGTAAGGGGTGACGGGCCTGTTCAGGTCAGTTTTGGGCAGAATTTTGTTGGGTCAGTTCCAGATTCAAAAGTTAAGACATCTGTATTTGGTTTTAGGCCACACTTTCAGGTCTGGTCAAAACTAATGTCTTTCCAAACAAACATATTTTAGTAGAAGTAAAAGTATAATTTGAAAATACTCCACCAAAATTTGACATATGCAAAAGTTTGGCCACTCTTTGTCAAATGGCACGTTTTGTTGATTTTTCTAAGTGAAAATAAGTTAACACACCCTCTACAGAGAACACACTTCTGCACATTTTAATGCACAGTTACTGTTTATTTGCTGAATTTAACATATTGGGGGAAAAATAAACATAAAATGTGGTCCGTGCAAAAGGTACAGCACATTTTATATTTGGTGTTTTATTTTTTTCCAATATGTTGTACTCAACAAACAGAAATTGTGTGCAAAAATGTGCATAAATATTAAAGACATATTTACACTTGTTCCCTGTGGAGGATGTGTTAACTTATTTTCACTTAGAAAATCAACAAAACATGAACTTTTGCTAATAACTGTGCATGTAACTTAGTAAACGGAACTGGTTATCATCCAACTCTGAACATCAGTTAGCAGGAGGAAGTGCAGTTTGTTCATTTGTGTGCATTTCTCACCTTAAGCACAGTTATGACGGACGGAGGGTAGCTCAGTCCCACCATGTTGGACGTCCGGCGGTACATTCTGTTTGGAGAAGATAAAAACATCAAATGAGCATCACGCGGTGAGTCTGAAAAGTAACTGTGCCTAGAAACCTAGCGTTCCCCCATATCCCCCTCCAGAGGCCTAAAGACACCCCACTGGAATATTGACCTTCAGTGCAGTTAAAGACACATCAGGGATGAGTGTCTTTCTCTTCGCTTCAAGCATCAGTCCAGATTTGCTGCATGTGGCAGGCCAGTTAACAGTACTGCACCAACAGAGGTCTTTATAATCACTACACTGCTTCACGATCGTGCTACCAATTCTGCACATTTTTTACGCTCTCTGTTATTAAACTAAGCAGGAAGCCATGGCACGGTTTGATTCCTGTTACAGGCTTTTAAGTGCTTCTGCTCTGTCCTTTGTCATTGTAATTCAGTTATGCAGTGCAGAATAAAATATATTACAACATAGTTAAATGATGCTGTCTGATACAATCACATCCACAGAGAGAGAGAGAGAAAGAGAGAGAGAAAGAGAATAAGAGGGAAGAGAAATTTATCTTGTAGTCATTTTAGTCATTTAGTATTTCTTCACACTCTTCTTTTTGAGGCACAATTACACGTTATATGTCCAAGGGTATCCAGACAGCCCTCCTAATTAGTAAGGTGCATCCATTGTTGACACAGGTGTTATTATGCAATTATTATGCAAATACAGCTTAATCTCCATATAAAAGCAATGCAAAATATAATGGGACACTCTGGAGCAGCCACACATAAGCCTAAGGTTACCATGTCCAATGCCAAGCATCAGCTAGAGGGGTATAAAGACCCCCAGCACTGTGGATCAGTGGAACTGTGTTCTCTGGAGTGGTGATTGTGATCCAGAGCTAATCATCCAACATCAGTACCTGACTTCACTAATGCTCTTGTGGCTGCAATTAAATCCTCACGGCAATGTTCCAACATCTAGTGTAAAGTCTTCCCAGAAGAGTGGAGGCTGTTACTACAGCAAAAGCTATTAACACTTTAGATGTCAGAGGACACTTTGGATGATGAACAAACTTTTGGACAGTGTAGCTTTGAAAGGTGAAACAAATCTAAGGGAACTCTGCAGTGCATGTTTTAGACTCCACTCAAAGATTTATAATGGGATTTGGACAGTGGAGTTTATGACCACCAGGAGACAGAGTGCATCTTTCAACAAGCAACTGTGAGCGTTTGGAAGGTAAACTGGGGAAACCCATAACTCCTCCTTGTACTCCCTGCCTGCTGGCTGATAGAGTATTCAACTGAAGCGCTGCTTCATCATTGTGTGTGTATATACTGAGATACGGATGTGCTGAATTCCCACGATTCAAATGAGGACTTCATTTCCATGTGAATGAAATATATTACATCAACATAGTTTTGTCTTTCTGTTTACTTAGTTTTAGCAATATCTGAGTTGATGTAATATATTTTATTCATGTGGAAATGATATACATCTTTTAAACCAAGTAAATTTAATGCATTCAAAAAACATGCAGCAGCTGACACTTCAACACGTTTTGCCTTCTGATCTTGACCTGGCAGCATAAACACACTGAGTTGTAGATAAATTGGACTTTGAAGTTGAATGTGAAGAGCATTTATTTTTCCAATAAAATAGAAAATAAATAGTCTAAAGACTGCTTAGTTTGTCATTTTTTACTCTTTAGATTAATTTACTAATTCATTAAATAGGTTGAATTTTTCAGCCCTATTTGTAAACAAGATGCAGCTAAATTTCAGTTAGAGAGGGCAAGAAAATATTTTTTTTTATTTGTTATCCTGGTTGAGAAACTACAATTATTATCAAATGTCTCACTGTGTTGTGGTGACCCCACCTCTCCACAAATATCCCAGCCTGCACTGCGTGCACGATGCTGCGGAAGCGCGGCTTCTCCTCCGTTCGTCTCAGCATTAGCCCCATCTGCCGCGTGAAAGTGGAGGCCAGCCAGTCCCGAACCTCCGAGGGCACAGAGTCCGACTGGATATCACTGAGCTCATCCTCTGTGTCCACCAACCTCCTGAGAGAGAGAGAGAGAGAGAGAGAGAGAGAGAGAGAGAGAGCGCACACAAAAACTGTCACCAATGTTCTGCACACAAAATCCTGCCATGAAAATTGGTTAAGCACAATTACAACTGTGTCTAACACCAACTGAGCCCGAGCTGAGGCCACGTTCAGCTCTCCATCCTTTCCATCACAGTAATTATGTTAATGCCTTCCTTTTTTTTTTTTTAAGAGACAGTCATTATAAACCATCTTGTAAATTTCTAAACAATTTCACATTTGTAAATTGAATAGCAACTAGAAATAATCAGTAAAAAATGGAATATAAAATATATATAGTGTAGGTACTCTTATTACTCATATTGGCCACCACAAAACTGTAAGTTTGATGATAAATTACTGCTAAAATAATTTCACAAGTCAGTTTGTAAAGTTTCTGCCCTGCTAGATCTGCCTGGGTCAACTGTAGGTCTTATTGTTGTGAAATCCCTCAATATCGGCCTCACTTGGAGTTTTCCGTAACTCATCTCAATCTTTATGCCTACAACAGTTTATTGTATTTACAATTACATTACCTTTATTCTCTGTGGGCATCTATAATACATAACACTAGTTACCATGGCAGCACACTTTTTACCTCAGAGGGAACAAAGCTAACCGCTAAGACGCTTTCACTGAGACACCTGTGGTTTTGTACACGCAGAATTACAACATTGTTAGTGATACTTAAATATTGTTTTCAGATGTAATTTTTCTGCACGAATAAAGTGTAAATGCCCTACTAAGACAGGAGCTTTTGTTGGTTGAAGTGGCTGTAATTGGGGGACGGCTGATGTTGGGGGTAATAATGTTAAATATATCCTGTATTTACAGTTGTATCTTTCAAAATCATGTGTATTTCCTTTCACTCAAAACAGAAAATTCTGTATTGTAAAAACTTCAGCACTCTCCAGTTTCTTTCTTCAGTTCTTACTCAAGACAATACAGACAAGCATCAACTTACTAAAAGTCAACTAGCATGACAACACAAATCCATTATATAAAATATTCAAATGTACAGAATACTATAAACACATTTTCACTTTTCAGATTCTGTACAATTAAACATTCTCTTTTTCTTTTCTTTTTTTTCCATTTTCTCGTTTCTCAGCTTTCTAACTAGCAACTGTTAGCTAACAGTAGCAGGCTAACAGGCTATCATGTAGTTGAACTGCATTCATGTCAAGTTAATTATTAAAACATTAATATTTCTGAGAAACGGTAGCACATGCTGACATAGAGGTCAGTCATCACCAAATTAACACCATGTTACTATAAAAAGTGAAAGCCAAAGACAAAGAATACACCAAGATAGCTAACATTATGCTAGCTTGTAGGCCAATGTTAACACAATTCTAATTTTAGCTCATGTTTCAGGGTATTCGATATTGTAGCTATATGTCTAAAAGTCAATAGAGAACATATTATACAGCTGCAACTTTATCAACAACAATTTGAATTTACTACAGAGATGCAAACGTAGGAGTTCCCTCTCATGATGACATGGTGCAGTTTTATCTTATGAAAAACTTGCATTCAATCAGGAGTGCTCAAACTTTTATCTGGAACTGTACATGATGATGTGTTCTTTTAGCAGTTTCACTAACGACACCGTATTCATGGACAGCAGAATGTAGCGTGCTGCTATTTTTTCCCCACTAAATCATAAACCACTCGAATGTAAAACATCACCAGAACTGACTAGCAATCTCTGCAGTTCTGCATGTGACAGCGTTAGTGTCCTAATCTGAGAGTGACCAAATGACGCCATGGTTACATAATTCCATAAGCTTTTTTTTTTATCTAGTCTTTTTTTTTTTTTATTTAGTCGTCATGACTGCCATGCTCAGGCAAGTGTTACACCTCTCCCTGTTTTCCCTGTTTATTGGATAAATGTGTATTAGAAACAATGGGGGCAGCACCACAGCTAACACATGAACCAAGTGGGGATTTAGCAATTACCTCTACGTGCAGTGAGCTGAGCAAGGAAAGCGTTGGTAGCTAGACACATATGAAAATGTCTATTTAAGATATAAAGAACATGTCCATTCAGAGAGCTGTTCAGACATGTTTGGTATCTGCAGTTTCTTTCTTTAGTTTTGTCCAGAAGATACGAGGCTAATGTAGATAACCGGCAATGTCCATTTTTAAGAAGCAAAATATAATTTTGTGTCAGAAAACAACATAAGCAAGTCCATTTGAGATTACCTAACAACTTCACATGATTTGAGGCCTGATTTGTGTGAGGAATTAGGTGTTCAATTAGCTGCTAACTGATGCCTAACTTTGATTACTTATTAGCTACATTAGCCTTGTAGCTCCAGTGCAAAACACACAAAACAAACCTCATACTCCAAACACCCAGATAGCAAGAGGATAGCGGATCACTGCTGGCCCACTGAAGGCAAAGCTGGCAGCCCACTGGCTTTTTGCTCAGTGTTTTCCAGGCAGCCCACTTATTTTTCTTATTTTTTACAATTTACTTATTTTTCCCTCACTTCTTTCTTTTGTTAGCCTTTATACATTAGTTTAGTAAATCATTTAACAGTAATATCATAAATAAAGAAGGTTATACAGCAGCTCTAACCAATCTAACAGTGTCAGCGACAACATTTTCAACTAAATCATTTTATATTAGGCCTAGTCATTCATTTTTTCCTCTTAGTGTTTTTTTTCCTCTTAGTGGTTTGTAATATTTGTCAAAATAAAAGGCTATGTGAATTTAAAATCTGTTTAAAGAGATAAAAACTAGTTAGAGCTTGTAAGAAGGACAATAATCTAGGGTGGTCCAAGAGTGGCATACATCAGTGGAAACCTTATCCAGCCAGTGCACTAATATATGCTTGCTATCTGGCCATGTCTTGGCTAATAGACTAGATATGAGATAAGAAGGAAAACTGTATAAATTCGATTTTTCGCAGAGCTATTGCTTTAAAAGATCATCTCTAAAAGATGCACAAAGGTGTTATTACAACTACAAATCAGCTTGACTGTGCAGTGTACTGTTGCAGCATTTATATACTATGCAAAAGTCAGAGACCACCCTTCATTTATTTACTTGCCTGTCGAAACAGTCATTGTTGTAAGTTATTTGCTTATTTTATTAGATATTTCTGTGGCGATACATATAAGATAATTAATTTGGACCAAGAAGAGGGAAAGTCAAAGAAAAATAAGAGGAAAAAAACAAGTGTTTCCAAAACTGGAGTTCAAAAAATAATTAAAAGATGTAAAGAAAATGGAACTCCTAACAAAGAGGCTGCTGGTGTTCTCAGAACAATGGATTAAACAGATCTCAACATCACTGAATGTTTTGGGATTATCTGTCCATTTTGGGAGATGCAGAAAGTGCGACCAACTTCTAAGACTTCTTTTGCACTTTACTGTAATTCTATCAAGACAATGTCCAACACTGACTTTTGAAAAGTTGCTTTAAAAACTACAGGAGCTATAGTGAAAAATGCTAGTTGCTTTTTGAAAAAAGATTCCAACTGATTTATAATGGCACCATAATGCTTTTAGGGATGTTGATGTTTCTTCTTATTTCTTCAGATATAGATTTGTAGTCAGGGCCATGCAACCTCTATTAGTGTAAGTGAATGGGTGCTGGTAGAAGTTTTCTTTGTGTGCTGATCTGAGACCAATTTGGCCATTTCTCAGAAACAGGGACAGTCCTGGTCGGGTAATTCATCATCATCTCTCCAGTGTATATGGGCTCCAGTTCAGGCAAGCAAAGAGTAAATATGAGGTGGGACCTGCCACCCAAAAACAGCACATAAATAATGTCCTGATGAATGAAGGCCTGTTTGAGAACACAGAGGACGTGGTTGAGATATCAAACGAATGCAGGCTCTTCCTTTTTGTCAGTTTTCCTAGACCTTGTGCTCAAAGCAGCACAGAACTAAATTTCTAAAGGGTCTTAAAATTACTTTTCAAGAAACAACTTAACGCATCGGTTCAAAACTTCTTCGCATTCCAATATTCCTGCTCATTCAGCTTAACTCCACTGCCAACAACCCTTGAGTCAGAAAGTTATTCATAAATGTAGCAGGCCAATAAATTATGGGATGCAAATTTCACCTTGCTCCTGACAGATGTTTCTTAAATAAAGGGCTTTTCAACAGCTCTCAAAACAGCTGCCACTTAAAAGCTCCCAAATTGCTTAGCGCATTAAGTATCCTTCTTGCTTAGTTTATGCTCCTATCTGAGGGCACCCTGATACTTGACTGTCTTGCAATACGTTGAGGAGCCTGCCCAAAACTAGAACTTTAAAGTGAAACACTTTAGATAATCTAGTTTGTGAAAGCTTGGCTTGATACTTTACCTTGTTTCTTCGATGTAGACGGATTCAAGCACCGTGGCTGCATACTCAAGGTTCTTCTTCAGGTCAACCAGGGACGCCTCTCCCCTCTCGAGCTGTTTCACCAGACACCGCAATCTGAACACAAAATACAGAAATGGAGCTTTGAACACCAACAGGACCAAATGAGATTTATGCCAAAAACCAATCAGCAGCCTGGCCTGCAGCTGTGGTCCCCAAACGTCCTCCTGGTGCTCAATCTTGTTCTTGCTATTCTGCACTTGATCCAAGGTTTGATAAGCTTAATCAGATGTGTAATATTTGAGTTTCTAAAGAGGTTGTGTGCTTCTGCCTGATTGGAATGAAAACATGCAGCCAAAGCGGCACTTAGCGGGTAAGATTGGTGACCCCTGCCCTAGAAGAACCACTTACGGTTCCCTGAAGAGCCCCTCAATTGAGTACGTAGAACAAAATCCAGTATTGTAGGTCTCTGAGTAAAGTCTATCACTAAAGGGGCACTCTGATCAAAAATGAAAACTTTAAACAGTGCTTCATCTGTTGTAAATGTGCCCATCCGCCTCCTATAGTTGTGCCACAATGTCTCTAGAGTGAGACTTTCCAGTTTGAAAACTAGGAAAGCCTCTTCTGATTATGTTGAAGATGTGAGGAACTTTTAAAGGGGGGTTGTTTGAAATGCTTTTCCTGCTAACCGGCTATTGCAGAAGGAAGTCAGATGGCTAAATGATTCTTCTAGGAAGCTACATAACACATCTGTATTTATTAGCCTCTATATCTGTGGATATGCTAGCAGATTTGATTATAATCTAGAATAGGGGTCAGCAACCCAAATGTTAAGAAGAGCCATTTTGTCCTTTCAACAAAAATCAAACCACCTTGCGAGCCACAATATTTTATGTCCGTTTTAACATCTTGGCTGTAAATATGTCTCAGTACATGCTAGTTTACTAGTATAGGCTAAAAAATATAATACATACGCAGTTTTACTTTGCTCTGCTTTAAGCTTTAGCTCAGCTATAGCCAATTTTCTTGCATTTCCAGCAGGAAACTTTTCCACAAAAGTGGAATAGTTTCTTGTAAAATGTCTCTCAGCCTTCGATTTTTTTAACTTCTTTTTGGATTTTCCCTGTTCTTTTTTCCATCTTAAATGGTGCAAGAAGTGCCAGAATGTAACTGTGGCACCATTTAAGGTGGAACAGGAAATTTAAACAAGAAGCTGGCGAACGAGAAGCTGACTTCAGCCTCGCGACTGTTTCTCACTACAGATTAAACGTATCAGCAGCACTCTGTGTGCCATCCTTCAGAGTTAAAGAGTGAATGAACAGATATAGGCTACATTAAGTCCAGCATTTATGACCATTTAGTGTTAAGACTGTGTTAGAACGACCAACAGAGCTTTATTTTACTGTAAAGTTGGATTATTTTATGTTTACCTAAAAATCTAATTCTGCCGTGGAGCCTCAACAGGGCAGTAGAAGAGCTGCATTGCCGACCCCTGACCTAGGGGAATCCCAAGGGCTGTATGATGTATTTGCATAATGCATGTTGGGAATTGTAGTGAGAGAACACTAATGGATGAAAACATTAAAAAGATATGAAATTGAGTTCTGTCAAGCTGATGAGGAATTCAGTGCTGCACTACAGAATATTCCATAACTGGAATACTCCTTTAATGTTCAGATCAGTTAAAGGCAAATATACTCTGCTGTCCTGCTGTGATATATGTAGCTAATCATTACAAACACACTAGCACTGCTCATCAAAAAAAGCTGCACTATAGATGGACTGCAGAGAAACTTGTGCACTGACGTACTTGAGTATCCATGGTGATATTGTTCAGTTCGGTTATCTTTGCTTTCTTATTCTGAGGATGGTATTCGCACATCAGGGGATCACAAACTCACCAGTTGATTACAACTGAATACTCTCTCTCTCTCTCTCTCTCTCTCTCTCTCTCTCTCTCTCGCTCTCTTTTAAACATTTTTTGCGTTCATGTAAACCAGTTGTTATAGACACAAAGTGGGAAGTCTCCAACATGATAATGACCAGCAGTCCAATTTAGGCTATTTCACAGTTTTGCTGTGCATTAAGGGCAGCTGTCCAACAGTAACAATGTTATTTGCTTGTGTCTGAGCAAATTCAAGTGAAACTGAAGTGATTCAAGGCTCAGTGGGTTTAAAGCCAATTAGTTTAGTAGGAAATTTACCATAGCTAAAGGTAAAATATAAGTCATATATATGAACGAAAAAAATCAATGTAACAAGTAAAACACCTTAGGTAAGCACAATAACTTCAGCTAGGTGTAAATGACATGACCTTTTGGTTAATATGCAAATAATACTGTGAACATTTTTCCATGCTGTAACTGAGCTTCCTGAGATTCTGAAAAATAATAGGGTATATGAGCATTTCTAGTCCAGATACACTCAGACCCTATATATGGATTTAATAACTGGGATAAGATGCCTTAACGAACTAAAGGGGAAATTCCACCGATTTTTCAAAATTTGTGCATAATACAATTGTAAAGACAAAGTCCTTCTGAGTTGTTTGCTATGAAATTCTTACTGTTACTGAATCAGAATTTAAAATGGTGGTGATAGGAACCAAACATCTAAACAGTTTGAGAAAAGCTTTTGGCCTAAAATGTGTTTTTTAAACTTATGGTACAGAGGTACATGCCGGGCGTTGCACACTGTCAGAAAGTTCTCCCCATGTTCTCCCCATGTCTGCGTGGGTTTCCTCCCACAGTCCAATGACATGCAGTCAGGCTAGTTAGAGATACTAAATTGTCCCTAGGTGTGAGAGTGTGTGTGAATAGACTGGCAACCTGTAGATCAGTACCTTTTATTCTGAGAGTGTAAGGAAAAGCAGTAACCAATCAAAATTTATGTTTTCACATTTTACCACGGCTTTACCATTATCAATATTGCATATAAAACCTCAAGAAAGCACAAGTAGATTCACTGGTCATTTTGGAGAGTAATAAATTGTCTATATTTGCATTGTAGACACTGTAACCCCCGGTTCCTATCACCACCATTGTAAAGGGTTGGCAAGGTTCCCCTTGTGTACTTTTCAAAAGTGTATTTAATATGAAGCGTACATACTTTCAATGTTTACACTTAAACATACCCTAATACATACTAAATGTATTATTTTGGAACAACTTATGATAACTTAAGTTTATTTGTATTGTGATTAAGCTATAATTGAATATATACACTAAAATGCACTTAAAATGCTATCTGGAGTATGTGCCAATAAGGAGTGGCATCTACCACAACATCTGCCACTAGAAACTGCCACTTCTAATAATAAGTGGCATGAAAGGCAGCAGTTTGCAAAGATCTTCGTATGCTAACAGTAGCGTGTAGCCTAAACATCCATGTACACAGACATTAGGCTACATGCTAGTTGCTTAGTCTAAACATCCGTGTACAGGTAGATAGGCTACATGCAAGTAACTTAGTCTAAACTTCAGGGTACACATACACAGACATAGTCTACCTGCTAGTAACTTAGTCTAAACTTCAATATACACATAGGGTATATGCTTGTAGCTTAGTCTAAACTTTAGTGTACAGGTAGATATGCTACATGCTAGTGGTTTAGTCTAAACTTCAGGGTACACATACACAGAGACAGGCTACACGCTAGTAGCATAGTCTAAACTTCAGTGTACACATAGATAGGCTACATGCTAGCAGCTTAGTCTAAACTTCAGTGTACACATACACAGATATAGTCTACACACTAGTAACTTAGTCTAAACTTTAGTATACACATAGGGTATATGCTTGTAGCTTAGTCTAAACTTCAGTGTACAGGTAGATAGGCTACATGCTAGCTAGTCTACATGTACCTCTCCACCATGAATGGATTTTAAATAGCTATTTTTAGACCACAATCTTCACAAAGCCGTCATAAAACAATACCTCAGGCATCAGGCAGCATATTCATAACCATTTTATGTAATACATTTCTGAGAGGTAGCTTTTAGGGACAATAACTGCTTCAGACATCTGGTTCCTATCTCCACTACTGTCAAAAATTCTGACTCTATGTTTCTCTAGAATGAAGCATTTCACATCAAATCACTCTGAATGACTTTGCTTAAATTTTAATGCTTTAATTATGCAAATTTAACTTAATACACTTTAATACACTTGTCTGTGAGATCTCTAATGAACTTGACACATGTCTGATCTAAAATAGACCACATCACTGATATATGGATCAGTGGGCTAAACTCCAAGCTAACTCTAGGAGTAATCAGTTCTGAGAAACATGCACCATTACTGGCTGAATGCTATTACAGTTAAGATGAAGAGGCAAAGAAAGTTGTTGTCCCAATGGTAAGCTAGTTCATATAGCTAAGGTTTGCTCCCTGTACATACACTGTACAGCAGTTTATATAAACCAAAACTACAGCTTTGAAAGCCAAGTGGATGTACATTTCAAATATTTTGAGACAATCTAATAAACGTGTATTGTGAAAAAATTATCGTGAAAATTATCTCCAAAGGGAGTGAAATAAATGCTATAGGATGCATCACTAAGAATGCATACAGATTCTGGGTAAAATCAAGATAATAGCAGCCTAGACTTACAGATCAGATCACTACATTCAGCATGGTCATGACTAGCAGGAAGCACTTGTGGGCCACCGTGGCTGTCAGAGTTCACCCGGAATACACATTTCTCAGAAGTGCTTATGCGTGCCTAGTGTGTATTTTTCATACGTGTATATGAGAGCGTGCAGGCTTTATGGGGACACTGGCCTGATTGCAGGCCCAGCTGCTGAGGATGAGGACAGAGAGCGGAGGGAGGAGAGAGGGAAGCTTGGCTCCTTTCTGCGCATCTCTGATGCATTTCTGCTCTCGGTGGATTTGAGAGATTTGGTTTATTTTCTCAGGCATGGCAGAAGGGGTTAGATTAGAAATTTAGGTTACGTTTATTTATTTATCTTCCATGTCCCATGTGTCGCTGGCGGGATTCAGTCTTGCTTTGAGTGATCCGTTATGACTGTAGATCATGCATGTCCACATACATACAAACAAACATACACATGTACATCTCTGGAACCCTTTCCTTTGACCCAGTGGTCACATCTCTTA